GTCTTAAGTCACTACACATACAGTGTGGCACCAGGACAGAATGGCAGCAAGGGACTGACAGCCTGTACCAGAACGAGGCTCCTGTGTGCACTGTCCATGCCACTTTGGCTTGACTTGATGACCGTGAATTGTTTACAACAGAATTTGAGATTCAGGAGGCTGTAATCTTTTAATATCCATAAAATAATTTCTTCCAAGAATATCATAAAAACCCCAAAAAGCAAACCCGTTGCAGTACAGTCAAATCTCTCCTCATAGTGAGTGAGGCCAGAGTAGACATCCCCCGCCCCCCAGGTTTTCCAAGACTCTAAATCTTTCTGGAAAGAGACTGTTGCATCTCTCTACCATTGAAGTAGAACAGCTGGTGAGTTCAAAGCAGCAGCTTAACCATTAATCATCGTGTCACCAGGGTGCGTGAAGATTGTGTAGTCTTTTGCAAACTGGCCATGATGTTTTGGAGGATGGGAGTTCCCAATCTTTTTTACTATTGCACCCAAACCCTCCTGGTAGCCGTTCACCTCCATGGCTCTTACCTCCAGCAATGGGCACATAGGTAATCCGGAAGTTTTCCACTTGAGCAGTGGGGGCCGTCCAGCTGACAGTGGCTGAGTTTTCAGTGATGTCTGAGAAAATAATTTCCTTCGGGGAGCCCATAGCTGTCAAGAAAGCACAAGAGAAACCCAAAAACAGTTAAAGATCTTGTTCATCAGTGGTTGGCCCTGGAATCCTTATCCAGGAAAATGTAGACTGTAGAGTCTGTTTCTCAGCCAGGCCCTCAGAATGGAGAGTGTTGCAATTCATGATCCAGTTACAACTTGTAGACACAAGGTTCTTCTTTCAGGCACAGGGCCCATTGCTGTAGAGAAGCTATTGGGTTTCACAAAAGGGGAACTTAGCAGGTAGCTGAGTTATAAGGAAGCAAAGAAAGACTGTTTCACAGGTTAGACTATTGTTGTGAGGGGCTCAACACTGAGTCATAGTGACCCTATCAAGGCACAAGGGAATGCAACTCTGTCAGATCCTGTGCTGTCCTCAATTTCTACTGTACTGAAGTCCATTCTTAGACTGTTACTGTTTCAGTCCATCCTATAGAGGGTATTCCTCTCTTTTGCTGATTTTCTACTTTTCCAAGCATGACCCTTTTATATTTAATTTTCAGTATCTTTACAAATCTTTGCTTTCTGGTTCCTTTTAGTAAATAATATGAAAAACCTGACAATTGTGCAATTCTTTGCAACTTGTAAGGTCCTTTCATCCTATTCTTTCTTTCATTCTCATATACAAACCACTGCGAGGAAGTAGTTGTGGTCATTTCACCGAGGAGCAAATTGAGGCTTAGTGAAGAGTTTGAGAGATGACTTTTAAAAGCAGAGCCCTGGGATTCTGGAAACAATGGACCCTGACCTCAGCAAACCCCTTCTCAGAACTGGACGGAAGTCCAGAACCAGCGGCTCAACCTTAGGCCTGTTACCAAAGCAAATGCCAACAAACACTGGGTCTACCTGGCGGGAAAGCTGTGCCAGAGAGACAGTGTCTGTTCCCTAATTACCTCTCCTCAAACCTAGTTTCCTTTGGCAGGTTTTTTTTTTTCTGTGTGGTTTTTGGCTTAGATTTTTGTTCTCTTCAGCTGACTGGGTCTAACAAGAAATTCAGGAAACAATTTTCAGTTCTCCAGGGACCTCGTTTCCTCATCTTTTCCCCTCTCCAGCCCACATTGATGATTAAGTCTGAAACCCACAGTCCACTTTGGGGAGGTTTCCTTTTGCTCATTTCTTTTTTCTCTCATCCAAGATATCTCCTCCTACGGCATTCTCCTGTGACCTGGTAGCCACCTCCAGACTTTGTGGGTGCTGCATCATCTTGGAAAGCTTTGTAAACCATGAGACTCTGGAGGCTGGAAGACCTCAACTGAGCAAACACCACTGAGTGGTTAGAGGCCTTCACCAGGTCCCTTTCCTTCCATGAACTTGTGGCACTTTGATGAGATAATGGAAGTAAAACTTGTAATGTAACATGTGAGCCTTACTAAGAATTCAATAAATTCTTTCAAAAACAGTTATCGTCCCTCAGTGTACATCTGTGTTCACTATGGGTTTTGAGGCAGTCCCAGGGAAAAAAGCCATCTCAGACCAGCTGAGAAGGATAGTCCAGTGAGGTGTGCAAACTCAAGAATTGAGGACTCTCCTGATGCCAGCCTGGGTCACTCTGACTTCAACTCTGACAAGAAGAGTCCATTAATGTAGGTTTTGACACAGTTTAGAAGATGTATCTTAGGATTACAGCTTTCTTTTTTAGAGCTTAGGCTTCTCCTTTGGGAAATGACAATGATGGCCCTTCTAAGCCTCAAGAGTTACTAGAACATGAGGTGGTTGGAAACTAGTCGTGTGTGACCTGAAGGAATGGCAAGTTAATGTTGCAATTCTGAAGTCAATGAGCCTGAATGTGGTGCTCTCCTCAACTGATGAGGTCATGAAGTGTGGCACTTACCATCTATATTCTATATCAGGTTTGCTTTGTACAGTTGCTGGTTATCATCTTTATGTTTCTTGGGTGGAGAGTACATAGTTAGAGCTGGAAGCATTAAATATGAAGAAGCTAGTTCAGAAGGAGAAAGACTGTCACACAAGTGTTTCTGCAGACTCTTTGGCTCAGGCCCCTGGGCACGGCACTGTTGCAACTCTGTGGTGTGTGATCCCTAGTGCATCTGAACTAGAGCCAAGGTGAGAGTTGAGGGACTGTCTGGATGGAAAGGCAGGACAGGGATTGGGTATGTCCTGGGAACCAGGAACCAGACTCTCTTCAAGTTGAAAGACAATGCCATTAATGCACGTCTGGGTGTGGAGCTAGGGGATCATTAAGAAAGTGTTTCTGGCTCTTCTCTCTTGACCCGTAGGTGAGCTCTAAGAAGGTCCAGAAGAGAATGATAAGGTCATCTCACTTTAGTGTTCAAATTTCTTTCCTTTTGTCTATTCTGGGGACTTTCCAGAGAGTTCACAGTAGCAGGTTGGCCTTTAATTAAATTCTTTGGAGTCAAAAGAAGCTCTGGGCAATGATCCTCCCAAAGAAGCACCGAGACTGTTGTAACAGATTGGTTCCCCCACAGAGGAGAAGAGGGGCCAGTGCAAAGGCAGGCACTGACAGAGACAAGCAACAATGCAAATACAACTCAAGTGACAGTCAGTTGAGGAGTGGTTAGATGCTGTGTGTGGGTTTGTCTCCAAGGCCCACTAATAATAAAAACAAGGCAAAGTGTAGAAATAGGCAATCCATTAATAATTATGCCCAAAAGGCAAAATACATATACAAGCTTATATCTCATTTCGCCTGCGTATATAGTATATTTTTTTAAAAAATAGCCAAAAAGTCAATGTCATTTGTCTCTAAACAGGCCAACTAGATATTGGGGGTGAAGGAGAATAAAAATGTCATGATATATCCTTTCTTAAAATTCGATTTTTTAACAAAGTGGTCCATTAAAAATTATATCCACACTAAATAACTCAATCATGACAATAGCTAATATTCTTTTTATAGGAAGCCAATTCTACTAACTTGACATTTATGATCTTAGTTAACCCTCACAGGTAGCCTTTGACTCTACTTTTTAGATGAGGAAATTGAGACCCAGAATGTAAAAGAAACGTGTTTAAAGTCACACAGATGGTGGATGGCAGAGTCGAGGATGTGTCAAGAGGCTGCACACATAACCAGGGCGTTAAACTATTTCCAGTTGCCCGTCTGTCACCGTTGGGGGTGGGGGGTGTGCTCAGGAAGAGGGACCTTGTGAGGAGAGGAAGAGCCACAGAAGCCCTTTCCAGGACAAAGATGGGGGGAAGGTCACACAGAAGTGTCTACAACTGTTCCGAAGATTGAAGAAGGAAGCAGAGAAATGATGAAAACAAAAGGGGAACTTTGTAAAGGTGACAATGTGAAGGTGACAACTGCTCTGCTGGAGAGTCACCCCACTGTCCTCTTTCTGGCACATTCGGGGGTGTGATCAGGCACAAATATGCACACACACATACTTTCTTTGGCTCTGAAATACTAAATCTCAGAGAAAAAGTAGAAGTGAAAGCCTCCTGGAACAACAAAGTCTGCCTTTCTTCTGCTCTTAAAGAACAAAAACCATCCAAATCTCATGATTATTCAAACCGTAGGACTTTTGAGAGAAAAGATCAGGAAAACAAAATCAGTGATCAGAAGTAAGCTTTGAAGAGCACTGTTTATAAATCAAGGACAGAATCAGGCCCTTCCTCTGATCTGGAGTCCTTTAATGGACAGCCGTGGGGGGGTAGGAGGGAGGGGAAGTGGAGGACTGTGTCCCAGAGAGGAGGTGCCCTTGCTAAAAGGAATCAGTCCTCTGCTCTGAGTTACTGCCTTCACCTCAGCATAGACTCATCTGCAGACTTTGTAATGACTTCTAGAGATGGTTTTTAGGGCTGGTAAGGTTCTGAAGTGTGGCATAGTAAAGCACCAAGGTGGGCCTCTAGACAAAGGGGTAGTATTGCGGGTTAGGTGTGGAGCCATTAACTGAAAGCGTGACAGCTGGGGTCTACCAGATGCTACGCTGAGGGGGACGGGGGGAGTATTGAGTGAATCATCTCCCATTAAGATTTGCAGACCTGAAACTCAATAGAGGGTTATCATGAGCTAGATTTGACTCTTTGGCTCTTGATTTAGGCCACGTGGAAAGAGTTATGGCTAATCTTATGCTCCAAACCTGCCAGATGTGGCAAGTATATATATTTATTAGCTATCTGTGCTTTAGTGAGTTTTTATGTTGTTGTTGTGTACTACTGAATTGGAACCAATTCATAGCTGACCCTCCAGTGGATTTTCAGAGGCAGTCAGCTTTGTGGGAGGAAATTGCCTATCTTTCTCCATTAGAGCAGCTGGTGGATTCAAACCGTGTTGCTCTGGATTGCTAGCGCAATCCCTTACCACTCAGCCACCAGAACTCCTATTAAAAATAAGCTAGCCATTTAAGTACAACTCCTAGTCTCTGTGGACATCAGATTCTTTATGTACAAACAAAAAAGACATTATTTCTCTGGTCCCTTTGATCTCTACCTGTGAAATTCTGTGATTCTCTCCTTTGCACCTTCTGTCAGGAAGCTGGTAGTAGTGAAATATGTGTTTTGGCATCTCTCTCAGTTTTCTAAAGGAATCCACTCCATCTGTTGCAGACTTTTTCTTTTAATGAGCCATTATGGTTTTAGTTTTATTAAGAATCATATTATTAATGATATTTTATTCTTCTTTAAGTCTCCTTGAACCAATGAAGCTTAAATGGAAAAGAGGTTTCTGTGTCTTGTCGCAGTGCCTTTTAGAGTCGCTATGAGTTAATTAGCTTCAGTGAATTTCATGGACCACAACAGTGATCTATACATGGAGTATTTTATAAATATTAACTCTAAAGGTGGAGCTACCAAGCCAAAGGGTCACTGAGTCTTCTACGACTCGACAGCACTTAACAACAATAACAACATCATAGAGAGCTCAGTTGGCCTAGTGGACAGAAAGCGATGTTACCAAGTCAAAGGTCGATGATTTTAATCTGCAGCCCTCAGGGCTGGTTTTAATTGTTTATGGTCAAACATTCTTCTAAGTGGGATGACACTGGTCTGTCCATTTTCTGTACAGAGGTAACTTGTGGTTGCTGTGGTGCTAAACACTGTGACACCGATGTGTCAGATGTGATAATCGTCACCCATTGTGGACAGTGTTTGGTGGAGTTTCCCTGATTAAAACAAGGTTGGAAGGAGGAGTGGCTTCCACTTCTGAAATAGTTTGCCTCTGGAAGCCCTATGAACTTGGAGAAAGGATGAAAGTTATACAAGTGTTCAGGTCTTTCGTTCATAGAGTTGCTATGAGTCATCTACGACTCGATGGCACTTAACAACAACGACATAAGGTGGAGATGCCACTCAACAGTATTTCTTGCACATTGTGATTAGAAAGTTTGACCAAATAACAAGGATGTATAACCCCAGACAAAATAGGATGTGATAACATACAGAAGAGTCTGGTATAAAAGAAAATGATTAGTTAGAATGAAGATGAATATAGATAAAAAGCATAAATATACAAATAACTCCTATTTTCTGAAGACTATGCTCTCCACTATGCATTTTGCATGAATTATTTAACCTTTACAAAACGATGGACTAAACGGCATAATTCAAATCATCTAAGGTTATACAGTTCATAGTCAAAGGAGCTAGGGTATACGGACTCAGTTTGTTTGGATACAGAGCTCTTGGAGATACCCAACCCCACATCATGACCTTTTTCTGGTCTTTCCTACTTTTTTACGGTACCTGTTATTGCTTTAGCACTGACTGGTTGGGATCGCCTTCCTTTGCTTATTCCATAGAGTTCAATTTCATATTCAGTGGCCTCTCTGAGACCTGTTATGTCCCTGGTACGTTCTGGGGCAAGGAGGGTTATTTCCAGTGGCTCAGACTGTTTTTTGATATCTCTGATTTTGAGAATAAAACCGTCGAAGACTCCATCATCAGCTGTCCAAGAAAGACGGAAACCATCTGGGGTGGCGTCTGAAACTAGAAGGTTGTCAACTTCTGGCTCGGCTTCTACATGGGAAGTAAAAAAAACAAAACAAAACAAAACAAAACAAAAAAACAAACCAAAAAATAAAAACAAAAAAATGGTAGAAGAAGGAGGAAAGAGAACATCATTTACCAGCCTTTACAATCTTCTGCCCAATGAGGGTATCAATATGCAGGGATGGCCAGGCTTTCAGAGATAGAGGAGTCCTGAGGTACCGAAAAGAAAATGATTGAACATTAACAAGCCTAGGAGAGGAGAGAGATGGATTGACACATTTAATACAAGCCAAGTGCTTGCATCTGTGAGTTTTGTCTAAAAGCAATTCTATAAATCCACATCTGGACTCAGCATTGTTAAACAAGTTCAAAGCCAGCAACTTGTTTACATTTGCTTTCTGTCTTCCAGTGGCTGAGTGCCCATCCTCTGTGAGACCTTTTTCTTTTCTCTTTGAAAAGACAAATAAACCAGCATTAATGATCTGTAAAGCTGCCCAGGATGATACTGCTGATTATATTTCCCTCAAGCCTGAGCAGATTGGCCTTTAAAATGTTATGGTCCTTTTGTTTTGTTCTTGGAGCTATTTTTACTAAAAAAGGTTCTCTTCTCAACTTTCCCCCCCTTTTCTTAATCATTAGATAAGTGTTCCAATGTTAGAACTGAGGCTTGGAAACTCCTGGGCTACATATTCTGGATTAAAGATTTTTCATCTTAGATTGCCTTCACTAGACAAAACTCAATGTCAAGGCAAATTTGCAGGTGAGTTTCCCAAAGTGTGCTTGGAGCAAATAATTCCTCTTTCTTAAAAATATAGCCACTGTTGATAAGTTTAGGAAATATTGATTGGTCTAGATAAATTACTCTTGGAGATGCACAGTACAAATTAAGATGTTCTTAAAAGCATTGTGGTCAAGAGCCCAGTGTTTCTAAAACTTATTTGAGAATGGAACTTCCTTAGTAAGTAGGACTTCTTAACACTTTAAAGAGCTACTCTATAATGTTTAAGCGTAATCAAAGACTTTGGGAAACACAGAATTTTTACTGTTAAATAGTGTTAATGTTAAATTTCTCTGAGAATTATTAGTCTTGAGAAAATGATGGATTTAGTCTGTGTTAAGAATCTCTCTGACATTAGTGTTTTCCACCATGATAAGTCCACAGTTAGTTTCCATGACAAGTCCACTAATAACTTTGACAAGATCATAGATGAGACTTTGAGGTAACAAATGCTCTCAGTACATTTTTGAAATACCCTCATCTGTATATTTCTTTTGAGAAGGCTGAAATACAGCTGAGGAATCAGCCAGGATGAACACAAGGGAATAAGCACACAAAAGCTACCGGACAAGACATCTAAGGAACTTGGAACACCAAGTGGAAACATTTTGCCCTTCTCCTATCTAAGATAGGAGAAGGTGAGTATTCACTATATACATAAGACAAGGGATAATGTGGATGGAACATGAACGAGTAGGCCACATCTATGGATTAAATAGGCAATATGGACAAGGGTGTTAAAATCATGGTGATCTGGTAGACAGATTACATAAAAGGGGGCCAGGAAGAGGAGAAAATGGCTCACTTGAATTGAAATACCTGTAATAATCTCAGCCCTCAAGGGCTTGGTTTGGTGCCCTTGGGTGAAGCCAGAGACCATAACCTCATAGCCAATGCCAGTTATGAGGCCTCTTAGCTCCAGTTTCCTCTGGGTTCCTGAAAGTGTGAATTCCTGGGGATCCAGCAGCTTCCCAGAATCCACCACCGTTACTAAGAAGCTGTCAAAGGCATTCTCCGATGCCATCCAGGAAACTGTGAACCCGTAGGGATTAGTGTCGGAAATTGTTAGGTTTTCCAGAAAGGGCAGGGCCTCTGAAAGAAGGGAAGGATGAAAATAACTCAAGTTAGCAGCAATGACTGCTAAGATAGCATAAATCTCCAAGAACATACCTGATCAATTAATTATGTTTTAGGCTTAGAAAATGACTATATAGTGCAAACTCACCAGGTGATAGATGGCTTATTTTGTGTAATGTTGATAACAAACTTAAAAGGTGAGCTGTTCCCATTTTAAAGATGAGAAAATGGAATTTCAAAGTGATTGATTTACTGACCTAAGTTATAGAACTAGTACGTGACTGAGGCAAATTTTTAACCAGGTCTGACTAAGAAGACCACAAATTTCTCCCTAAACACATGAGACTATATTTTGTTGGATTGCAGCCCTTTGTCTACTTTTCTATCATTTTATGGTCTGGAAACAATATATTTCTTTCCTACCTTGAATCAAGCTAACTAGACCAATTGATCACACACATCCTTACAAGCTGGGCTATCGAAAGGAAAGGGGGTAAGATTTTTCATCTATCAACATAAATAACTTACAATTATGGTCCAATGTGCATACAGTGATTTGTTAATTTTTTGCTTGCTTTTTCTTAGATAAGTTTAGGAGGCAAGGCACATCTAGATCTTCAGACAATTCTGTCATCATTAATTGTTCATTCATTCATTCATTAAGCATTAGTTCCTCCTATTTTTCAGGAACCATGAAGTCTCTTCACATATTGAGTTCCCAAAAAGAGTGAGCTCAAATAAGCTAGGTTTCTCTCAATACTTCACAGCTAATGAGATTTTAAGTTCATTATTTAACTGACAAAGAAAAGATAGAGTAGCAGATATTCTCTCACTCCCTTCCCACCAAAAACATCTAAGGAAACCCAGATGTCAAGTGGTTTATCCAAGATGACATATCTACTATGTCGCTAAATTGGAATCCAACCTGGGTCTTCTGACTAGCTAATGTCTAATAAATCAATCCCACCAATGGTGGTAGATCCTGAGGATTAAGTAGGATTAGTCAAGTATGTTCAGTGCTTTCCCTTGGGTAAAATGAAGAAGTAATGGCGAATGTGTTGTTTTGTTTTCTCTTTTTTAAAAAAAGACGGGTGTGGGTACAGAAATTCCAGGGTCAACATTATATCACCGAACTAGTTTGGAGTCTGTGTTTCCAATGCAGCTAAATGGAAACTTTCCAAGAGGTAAACGGCTTAGCACTAATACCCAGCCTCTTATTCAGGAAATGTAAAGAAAGCAGTTTTTAAAGAGAAGTGCTTGGTGATTGACTGATTGAACAAGTGCTCTCATCTCTTAAGCAGTGATTTCAATCTCCTTATAGCCTGGACTTCTTTACTTACTTTAAAACACTTTATGTTTATTTTCAGGTAGTATTCCTTGCTGCATCTGTCCCCCTCCCCCTGCTAAGGATCTCTGAAGAATCAGAACTTTATCAAAAGCACAGATGAAATCACATTTACAGTGCAAACAGCCTTCTTTATCTGAGAGACAAGGGTCTAAAATTCTTTTTCTGGGTTTTGTTTAGATAAGTGGCACCTCTCTTTAATAGCAAACCTCTCACAGCACTTCCACCCCAATCAAAGCAGAGGATTCTGATAAAAATGAGGGCGGTCAGGCTAATTAGTAAATCAAAGGTTTGCTTTTTATAGCCCTTCTTGCTGAGCTTTTTTTTTTCTTAAAAAAAAAATTAAATATGCTTCTTTGAAAATTCAGAGTCTTTTCATATCACGGATTAGCTGACACAATGCTGTAATTGGATCCTGGATTCCTAAAGCCTCACCCCTCCCAGACTCTCTTTCTTCTCTCTGTTTTTTACAAGGTCATGGAAAAGGACACTAGTGTGGGATGGTGAGGGGCGTTCCTTACTCTCCTCCTGAGCAGTTATATTTTAATTTCAGGGTTTTTATTTTCCCCCCTTTTTTAACAAATTATAATTTTTTGCATTAAGAGATTGGTCTGAACAATTTAGTCTCTAGAAAAACTACACAGTTAGGATAATGCAGATTTACTGTTGCTATCCAGGCTTAAGTGAGCTCTGGTGGCCTAGTGGGTGAGGAGCTGCTCTAGTAATCCAAAGGCATATGGTTTGAATCTACCAGATTCTCCATGGATAAAAAGATGTGCCTTCTCCTCTTGTGGGATTTACTGGAAAAGCCACTGGAGGGTCAGCTAAGAGTCAATTCTGACATGATTATCCATAACAACAACAGTTTATTTTTAAGAACATGGCATTCCTCAAATTGCTGGGAAATAGTGCAACAGACCTGTTACTGCTGGCAGGTGTCATTGAATCAATTTCCATTCATAGTGCTTACATGTGACAGAATATAGCTGCCTATAGAATTTTCTAGACTGTAGTGGCCTATTGGGTAAGGAGTTGTCCTGCCAATCCAAAGGCAGGAGATTCAAATCCACCAGGCACTCTGTGAGAGGAAGATGGGTAATGTTTTCCCCTGTAATTTACAGCCTTTAATAATTCCTAGAGGGAGGGTCAGCTATGGGTCAACAACAATGAGTTTCAAATAATATTTTTTTCCTTATTGTTGTATACTATTGAATTGGATCCAACTGGCAAAGGAGGAGATTGTCCCTCCTTCTCAGCAGAACATCTGGTGGATTAGAATAATCTTTATAGGAGCAGATTACTATGTCTTTCTCCGATGGAGTTCCTAGGTAGTTTTGAACTGCCAACTCTTCAGTTAGCAGACAAGCACTCAATCAACTATTTTATCATTGGGATTCCTGGGAGCCAGATAAATTATATCACATCCACTTAATCTTTGAGACAGGAATGTGAGATATACCTGTATACCCTAATCCTCTTTTCATACTTAAAAAATTGGTGTTCAAAGACATCAGAAGATTTGCCAAAGTCATTTAGCTAAAAAGTGGTGGGAGGGGGTTAGAAATCACCTATGCCTAATCTCACAATCCCTGCTTTTCTAGGATACCATGCCACTTCCAATGAAATATTAAATTATACTTATTATAAATCAACTGCTATCAAGTAAAGTTGGATTCATAACCATCCTCATGAGTATCAGAATCAAACTATGTTTCAATGACTTGTGAACATTTTATTATTTTGAAGTAGACTAAAAGTAATTTCTTTTTCTTTATAGCAAGATATACCCTCAGAGAGACTTGGTTCAAAATCAGGCAGCAATGTCAATGATTATGATTTAGATTATGATTGTGGAATGCATTGGACTTCTAAACAATTTCTTAATTTATTTAGGTAAGAGATTTGGTAAATTAGCACTATAATAGCCTTTGTGTGTTTTACAATTTGGACTGTTAACTGAAAGATGGCAGTTTACATCTACTAACTGCTCCACAGGAGAAAGATGGGCAGCCTTGAAAACAAACACAATGGAACATTGCCAGGACTCAGAATCCACTCAGGGGGAGTGGATTTGATTTTGGTTTGATAAGGAAAGGAAAGCAAATGAGACTATTTCTATGTACAATTCACAGTGTCAAAGTTAATGAATGAATAATGTTTAAAGTTGAGACTTATCTGCTACCCTACTTTGAACCTTAATTATCCTATTGTGGGCATCCATTTGAGGAAGAAGTATTGTTTAAAACATAAACTATCCTGTTTCTGGGGCAAATTGTATATGAAGTGCCTTACCTGACATGAGATATATATACAAAATGTCCATCCTAGGTTTCTACTAACTCAGTTCACTATCCAGAATTTCCAAATTTTGCATCTGATGTCTATAAAACTAAGCCTTAAAAATCTTTGGAAACTTTACACAACTATTGAGAACGTTTTCCAAAAGGGATTGGGAAAGGCTTCTGTGCAATCTGCTTTGTCTTCACTGAGAAGTCTATGCATGGAACAAAGACTGTACTTGGGTTGAATGCCCCTTCAGAATTTCTAGCACCTTTCCCTTTCCCTGGGAGAGAATTCCACACCGATAATTGAGAACCTTGAATGAGTACCTGTCATGACAAAGGCAGTGAGGGGTCTTGTGAGTTCCCCAGCCCAGGTGGTCCCTGCCACGCTGACGTCATAGCCAGTGTTTTCCACCAAGCCTGTGACGTGAGCGTGCTGTGCATCTCCTGAGACTGTGAGTTGCTGGGACTCCTGCAGCGAGTGAGGATCACTAACATTGATAACAAACTTTGCAAAAGGCCCAGCTCTCGTGGTCCATGACACGTTGAAGCTGTCAGAAGTAACATTGCTAAGCATTAGCGTGCCCAACTGTGGTTCTGGTTCTAAAGAGAAGCAAGATGGGCAGAGAGAAAGAGACATTGTTAGAGGAAGCAGAGGAATTCTAAGGAACATAGCTACAGAGCATGAATGCACCGATCCCTCCAAATATCTGCAGCACACGTAGGTTATTAACTTGTGTCTACATTAGCATTGACTCTAATGCTAGAGGATATTTTGTATTCTTTGAAGGTATAGATTGATGTCCCTTTAAGTAAAGACAAGATCATTTTCTAGTTACTTCTGAAGAAAAGTGAAAAAAGCCGTCAGAGTTGTATACTTAATGTAAAGGACATTAAGGCTACATTTCCCAAAGTTTATGGGGGGGGGGTGTAATAGCTCTATAAGATGTCCTCCTAAAATATAACCCCAAGCTGATATACCTAAGAGCAACATTATATATTATATTTCATCTTTATAAAATTCACAAAGCCTATTAGTATTTTAAAGTCTCTGAATGGCTTGTTCTGCAAAGAGATGTATTTAACTTTGCCTAGTCTAACATTGGATTAACAACTTGATTAGTTTTTGATCTTTTTCTGAGAAGTATTCTTTGAACATCTCAAGGAACTGGTGTCCACTGAATAAGCTCTAGAAAAAGCTGCTTTAGGATGTCCTTATTTAGTTTAGTTGTCTTTTGATCCATTTGGATTGAGCAAATTAAAGGCTGATAGCCATATGTGAGAAAGTCTCTGTAGTGCATACAAATTCAAGGGTATGTGTTATACGGAAATCTACATATCATTCCAAATACTCTAAAAGTAAAGATAGCTTTCATCTTAAAAAAAAAAAACCAAAATCTAGTGGGTGCAAAAGTTAAATTAAAATTTCAGCTTAGGGAATTGCATTTCCTGATTAAGACATTCACTTACTGGATATTTCAGATAGATAATTTTTCTGACGTTAAATTTCTCTGCTCTCTTATGAGCAACTCATTTATTCTAGGGGTTACTTTCAACTGTCATGCATATGGAGTTAGTCTCCAAAATGACATCATACATTAAAATGAACTTATAGCAGACTGCTCTTTAGAAAGAGGCAAAAATCTAGGAGGATTGAGATACCAGGATCAGGACAGAGGTCCAGATAAAAGCTGTATTCCACCCCCCCCCCCAAGGATTTGGTTATTATTTCTTTTTAGCTCTTGCATTTTAAGGAAAGGAGGGACTCATTTGAGTCAACTTTAAATAGAAAATTAGACACTTTAGAACCATGAATTCTGTATCGACAAAAGAATCTGACTTAGAAGTAAAGTCTAGCCATCAACAATAGCCTAGGGTTTCTTATTTTGCAATTAGTTTGAGAAAATTCTGTTGTTATAACTTTCAGCTACAAGATTGGCAAATTATCCCAATTATACAAAAGATAAATCCCCCATGTGGATGTCCATTTGATCCTTCTCTATATTTTTCTCTAGAAACAGTATCCCCATTTAAGGGCGTATGTTAGAATTCATCATGCTCAGAGAGACTGGCAGTGCAATCACAAAAGCCATGCAGAAAAGTGTAAGGTTTTGACCTTCAGTTATCTCCAAAACAAGCACAACAAAGTAAGACACAAGGAAACAACAAAAGGTAGTTAATATATTGTTAGTGTGTCATATAAACCAGGGACTTTATTTTTCTACTTCTACTAATTCATTGAAATAATTCCTTTCCATGCTGCACAGTTGCAGAAAACATACACATTTAAAAAAAATAATGTTTTGAATGCTCACCCCATGCACCAAGATTTGGACAGGATGATGAATTTAGGCACTATGTGACGGATTTAGGTTTGGCACTATGTGACAGATACCAGTGGGTGATAAGACATGCTTGACAGAGAACATGTCAAAAAGAGAAATCTGTTTGCAGGGGATTGAGGCAGATAAAAGCCTCAAGAAAAAAGTGAGTCTCAGAGTCTTCCCCTTGCATAGGCTTTAAAGTTTCTTCTTAGCATGCTAGGGTTGCCAACATTGCACGATTTAATGTTGAGAGAGAGAGAGGTGGAAAAGGGCCATCTGAACAAGGAACCAAATATGGCATGCATAGGCCTCTTTGAACACAACACAGACAACCTTTGATTAAAAAGACCACAGGCAGACGATAATGGTGGTATTGGAAAAGATGATCCAAGATTAGATGAAAGAATGATTTCGAAATTCCACCAAAGCAAGTTAGGTTAATGATATACAAACAAATAGAGCAACTCCAGATGTGAGCGGATATTTAGGAGAAAGAGGTTGACACTGAACTTCCTTAATTTGGGGTGAGAGTTACTTGAAATCTTTAAAGTCCTGATTTTGAAGGTTCTACCAACTACAAGAAGGATCCAAAGAAACTGAAAACTTGGTAGTGGGTGAGTTTTGGAATGCTGTCCTGAGAGTTTTTATGCAGAGTAAAGAATCCGTAATGGAAATACCTGTAGTTGCTTGAACCATCAGGGTCTGAGCTTGCTGCCCGCTAATCACCCCGTGGAGGTAGGCAGTGTAATTTGAAGAAGCATTGAGGTTGGTGATGACATAACTGTGAGACACCCCAGGCACAGAGTGTATCACTTTCTCCTGGGGACGGTCAGAATTCCTAACTTCTACAAGAAAGCTATCAAAGGAGGATTCCTGAGCTTTCCACGAGATAGACACACTGTCCCAGGTCACATTTGAGATAGTGAGGTGGCTAAGAAGAGGTTCGGCTACTAAAGAAAAGAAACAAATATGAAAATGGGTCAATGTAAAACACAATTACAGGGTAAAAATAAAAACACATATGACTAAATCCATAAAATTTTAAATGTATACTCCATCTTCCCAATAAAAGAATTGGCTCTTGGTTGAAAAAGAATTTGAGTCTTGAGAAACAAATATGATATGCTAGACTAATTTTCTCCTGTAGATTGGCTGAGAGACAAATTAGAGGATGCTAATTTTCTGCTTTCATTATGGATCACCCTAGTAGTAATTTGTACTCGTATACAGATAAGGAAGACTCTCTCTTGATCACAGGCAACTTAGATGCTAGGTAATTTTGTTGCTACAAAAGAATCTTCTTGGATTCCCCAGAATATAAAGTCTTCTTTATAAACTGTAAAGAGAAATCCCCAAGTGCTTATTCCACGAATATCTTTTACAAAATTTTGTCAAAAGAAGACAAAAACTCTGACCCTTGACCAAAAAATGTTGAGAAGACAAATTTGAATGAATAGGACTCTCCTTTCTAAATACACATGAGGTTCACATTGGCATGGCAGAGAAAATCTACCACCAATTTCAAGTGAGAGTGGTTTACAGATGTTAACCAAACTCTGCTTCAGGAAGACTCTTTTTGCTATCTTTTGCAATTTTCACCACTCTGGGGGGAAGATCACCTGGCTCAATCTTTCGTTCTAGATGTAATGTTGGAATTGGAATTTGGATGATGTAAATGATGAAACTACTTCTTACACTCATCTACTCACTATGCTGGCTGCATTCTCAAAGGCACGCAGTTCAAATCTACCAGCTGCTCCTTGGGAGCGGTCTCCTCCCCTGCATTAAACTGCTTCTGAAAACCCCCTTGAGGGTCAGCTGTGAGTCAGTTCTGACCCAAGGTACACAACAGAAACAACAACTCACTACATAATACTCACTGCTTTCTTTTATCCTTTCTTAATTTGGAAAAAAGAAAACAAAAAAATAATTCCATTAAACCATTGAAATCTTGTTTTTAGGAGGTCAAAACCATTAAGAGGGTGCTAGGTCAACAAATAGTATAAGTTTTAAGACCTCTTTGGCTCATGCAAATATCCTTCTATTTCAAGGACCACTCTAGCTCTGACTTCTTATTCAAAAGTAGAATTCTTTTCTACAGTGTTTGAAGGACATTCTGGGCCAAACTACATACACATCATGCTACAAATGTCCCACCTGCTAAGAAAGCAGGCAAACAGCTTAATGGAAAGTCACTACTTGGGATGCTGTTGGAAGAGAAACATCTTAAGTACTGCTCCGTCCTGGCTTCATGGAAGTTAGTGCACTGAGGCTTGTACTTTGATGCCTGAGGAGAGAAAATGGTTCCACCCTGCAAAGAAGACTCTGGAAAAAAGATGTTAGAAATGTGAGAATTTGAGAAGGCTTATGTACCTGTTGTGGCTGTTGCGCTGATGGTTTTAGTCCGGATGCTGGAAGCAAGTCCAGAGAGGTAGACAATAAAATCAGTACTAGGAGAGAGCCCTGAGACGTGAGCGGTGCGTTTGGCACCAGAGATATTATACTCCACCATCTCCAGTAACCTATTGGAATCAATAATCTCAATGGTAAAGATTTCGAAGGCCCCATCAGTAGCTGTCCAGGAGAGATTGAAGCTCTCAGGAGTTACGTCAGAAACATTTAAGTTTCCAATTTCAGGTTCTTGGACTGCAAAAGGAGAGGTAGGAGAAAAGAAGAAAGAAAAAAGAGAGAGAGAGAAATAAAATTAATCATTTGACTTACATTTTAAGATTGAATTTGTTAATGGAATTGTAGCTGGAAAGAAAAAGCTGTTATCTCAGGGTTACTGCTGAAATGAAGCAAACTGTTATCAGTGGTAATGAAAGATAGAAAAGGGGAGTCTTTGTAAGAAGAAAAATACGATGACAAGGATATGGCAATTATAGTCCTCGGCTCTGGAGCTGTTACACATGAGCAGGCCCTGGCCGAGGGCTCCTGGTAGGGCATGACGAGCTAAGTGATCTCACCAGGAGTTTTTGTGTGCAAGCTCTAGAAGCTTCTGGAAGCCCCACCTCAGAGAGATGCTGGCTATCCATCAAAAGATAAGAGTGCTGGCAGGTTCTGTCTGGGCTCTTGAATTGCACCCAAGAGATCAAGATTACTTGGCTCCTTCTTGCAGACATTTTTTTTGCTTTGAGATAGCTCCTATCTATTCAAATGAGAATGAAATAATAATTCTGATGCCTTTTACTCTCTCAAAGTAGTACCTTGAGGCTTCTGATTTTTTTTATCTTGAAAGGGAACCGGCATTTTTCTTAATACTTTGGTTAAGGGGTATACTTTCTCATAACCTATTACCATAGCCCTCATCCCTTCTATGTGGCCAACAAGGCTAGTACTGCATTGCCAAGCAAGACAAGGCAGTTCAGGCAACACTGTTGGCCAATAAATAACATTTTGTCTCAGAGCTGATCCTGCCAACACTTTTCTAAGCAATACAGATGAAAGAGGGCATGTAGGAGCATGGATGAAAAAGCTAGAATTTTCTGGTTAGCAAGGCTGGAAAAGAGTCCTAATCTCTGAGATGAATCCAATAGCTCTGGTGAGACTTAGATTAGATTAGATAGGATTATGTCCTCTCATCTGTACAGAACTCACCAGAAGCAAGAATCTGGCTATCATTTATAAGAAATAACACAAAAATACCAGAGATACTCAAACCACAAGATCTGCAGGAAAGATCGGAAGTGGCTGGTGATGCCTCTGGCTCCTGTGAATGCCAGAGAAAGAGTCCTTGGACATCCGGGGCAACCTCAGCAGAGCTGCTAATTTCTAGATGTTGTCATAAAAGATTGCCTGGGGTTTTGTTTATTTCTGTGAGAGCTGCTGAGATGATTGGGGTTGAAATGTAGATGTGAATATTCCATAATCAATCCAACCTTGTAGGTTTGCCATGAGAATTTAGTTCCAATAATTATATAAACAAGGGGTGGCATGTGCAATACAGAAAAATGAAGCTGCTTATGGAGATTCAAGCTGGTCTAAAACCATAAGATGACAAGCAATTGAAGACAGTGTTGGGGAAGGGCTGCCCTTTATAGCAGGCTCCTGGGGAAACACTGAGCCCTTGTAATTCTGGGGACAACGATGAGTCAACAATAATGTGTCCCCTTGGGGCTGGGAGAGGGCATGTGCCATCCAAAGGCTGACCCACCAGGGAGAACTTCTAGAGGAGAAGGGCAAAAGGCTATCAGCTTGTTGACATTTATAGCCTGGGACATTCCTGTGCCAAGTGTTGCTGTGTGTGCTGTGCTAATGAATGAATGGCTTTCTCTTTGGTACAGCCGCCAGTCATAATTGTGTGATTTATTTATTTATTTGTTTGTTTTCGTCTACTGTTTGCCAATCTGAGGTCCTAGCGATGACTCAGAATCTGAGACAACTGCCCGGAGGAGATAAATTCAGTTCTCTTCTTATTCTCAGTGTGTTTTAAAGGAGAATTTTATAAATACCCTTGAAAGATATAGATAGTGAAGCACCAGTTCCAGCTAGCAAATATCTCTCTAATGTAACTAATCTGCATTCCACCAGAGCTCATACAATGGAAAGAGTGGACTTCTGGTTATAATTAAGCACTGGAAAATTAAAACTGTTGGGCTATCTTCTGGGACAAAAAAAAAAAAAAAAGAAAGCCGTAAGTTAAAAGAGATATAGTTGTCTGATGAGGCAGATAGAATTTGGAGGAGAGGGGCTGGAATGCTGAAGTCCAGGAATGACAACATCTGCATTGAGATTATTCTTGAGATGCAATGACATTTAGATCAAGTCGCAGCCAGTGGGAGGTGCCTGGGCATGCACAGCCAACAGTAGAAGGGACTCAGAAGGGGGCCAGCTGTGGAGAGAAGCTAAGCTGACTCTCAAAAAGTGTCTTGAACAAAAGGAGGGAGAGCACGGAGATGAAGATACCTGTAGAGGCCTCGGCAGAAAGCGCTGGTGTTGTATAGCCCTGAGTCAGCACCCCATGGATGGTGACTCTGTAAGGAGTGGCAGCTCTGAGGCCCGAGAGGTCCACAGCCCTGAGGCTGCCGGGCACTGTGAGGTTCTGAGCTGCCTCCACTTTGTTAGCTTCCTGCACCTGAATGACAAAGTGGTCATAGGCCTGGCCGGGTGCATTCCAGTTGAGTTTGAGGCTATCCCAGCCAACCTCAGTCACGACCAGCTCTCCTAGTTGGGGGAGTTCTTCTGAAGGAGGACAGAGAGGTATTGGTCAGTTCTCAAAAGGGAACACGAGGAAACCAAATGCCCTACAGCCCAATGCTAGGGAAGAGGGTGCCATACAGGGGTTTTGGCTCATTCTTGCTCTCTGGTATTACCAGTACCCTACACTTTGACCACAGTTTTCCTCGGGAAATGACATGGACAGAAAAGGGGTATCTGCATCTATCACCCTTGAGGTGGCAGTGACATCTGGATAATGCAGCCTACTAGGAGGTTTGGGATCCTGCAGGACTGTCAGCATCTAAAGGCTCATGGAAATGATGGGATACGGGTCGGATTGAAGTAAAGAAGGCAATGGCTAGAAGTGCAGGTTTTGGAGGGGAATGGACCTTGGTTAGAATTCCAGCACTGATATTTGATAGCTGCTTAATCTTGGGCATGTCATCCTGTTTCTCTCGGAAGCTTGCCATTTCTATCTTTAAATGGGGCCAGTAGTACCCATTTCATTGTATTCTGTCATGATTAAGTGATAACATATTTATAAATCTTTTACTATTGAAAAAATAAATGATGACATTTATATTGCCCACCTAACAGGGGGCAGCTTGAAGATACATACATCATTGTTAAGATGTTTTTGCTTGGAATCAACTGCTTCATTTCATTCTTGTAACTAGAAAGGTCATCTCACTGTGGGGCCCTTGCTATCTGTCTGGGTTTATAAATCATATGCTGGTTCAGGCTTTGACAAATATTTTGTTTTTTTTCTGATTTCTCTCAATGCCCAGGGATCAGAGATTATGAACAAGACACTGGCTGGCTCTTCTCCTCCTCCCTGAGCCAGTGGTCCTTTGTGTATGAATGAAGAATGGCTTCATCGTGAAGCCAGACTCTGTGTGAAATGAATGTGTCTACTTTTAATTAAAATTGATTATGTTTTTTGAGTCACTGGTTCAAAGAAGGGCATACTATTAATTTTTATTTTATAATGTGGGATGGAAAGGATGTGGAAAACCCCAGAACTTAGTGGGAGGCTTCTCAGGGTTAAATCTAATCTTGCTCAGCTTCTATTTAAAGATGAAGTGGCCATGGATTAAAAATTATTTAAGTAAATATCTCTGGAGATTGTAACCTAAAAAAAGTACAAGATATTTGTCCTCAAGTATTTCAGAATTCAATAAGGTGTACTGAAAACATCTGAGAAACTTCCGTCTTCTGCAGTGGCTGTTCTCAGTGAGTGCTCACTGACATGGTCCTTTTCTGGGAGAACAAGCATGGGGGGCCGTGGGTAATGGGCAGCCCCTCCTCCTTGCAGGGGTGGTCAGAACCACTTTTTAAAATTTTTAATCTGACATAATATGAAGTTACTTGTGAGATTTAATTTGCAAAATAATTTTGCTGTTTAAAAAAAGTTTGTAAACTATACATGTAGATTATCAGCATCTAGAACTCACAGGTCTTAAAGACCCTTTTACTCTTGTTTGATGTGAAAATGTAGGAAATGATAATGTGGTCACTTGAGGTGTTTCACAATATCACCGTGCTGATGTTTACAATTGTGAGTAATTTCTGCCAAGGATCAAGTTTAAAAGGCATGTATGAGCAGAAATTTCAATATGTTCAAATTAGCTGATCTGGGTGACATCAAAACACTGGATTGTAGTGAAACGAAATAAAACAGCACTGTTAACAAAAATTTGGTCCATCTGTCCATTGTTGTTAGAGACAATTGAGTTAATTTTGATTTGCACATGATCCCATGTAACAGAGTAGAAACTGCCCTATAGAGTTTTGAAGTCTCTGAGTTTTCTGACATGAAATTGCTTCCTTTCATAGAGCCTCGGGAGGGATTTGAACAGCCAACATTTTAGTTGACCACCAAACACTTAACCATTGTGCCAAAAAAGGTTCTTTATGAAACTATTTCTATAAACCTCATGAATAGCACCTCATTTTCTATAACAGACAATGCAGCATATTTTTAGGGGATAAATTGAGATATTTTTTCCTCCCTAAATTGAACCAAGATCATTTAAGCTAAATGTGGCCACATTTCTTTGAATATATTCTATCCTTGCAAGTTAGTTAAGGATAGAGACTAAGATAATTTTTCAGCCAAGATGACTAGAATACTTGCAAAGTTTATCTTGTAAGAGATCTGACTACAAATTGGGTGGCATTAGTGACTCTGATGCCATTATTGATAAGGGTTCTCTGGCAAGCTCTGGTCTCACCTTGTCCTGTAGCCCTATGAATTATGCTGCTATTACTTAATTCAGTTGCCATGCAACGTATTTCACCATTTGCTTTTGAATTGCTGATTGACACTCATGTTGCTGAGATCTTTGATTCATTTAGTGCTTATGGCAATATTCTGAAGTAGGAGTGTTGTCTCTGATTTAAAGATGAGAAATGAAGACCTACAGATGTAAAGTGGCCTACCCAAGAATACTCAGCCAGTAAGATGGAATTCCAACCCAGATCTTCCTGAGCTAGAGCTCATGTTCTTTTTACCTGCCAAGAACATGCAAGGAGGAGCCCTGACTCATGGGGACTTTCATCCATTCTAATGTCAAACTGGCTCATATTGCATCTCTGGTCTGGAGGAGCATCCAATACCTGTGATGACTTCCACAGTGAGGGGCCGAGTGCTGCGGCCCCTCAGCATGCCTTGCAGGGTGATGGTGTAAGAAGTACCCGCCTTGAGGCCTGGGATTGCCACCAAACGCACATGGCCAGGAACTGTAAGGTTGTGCACCTCTTCTGCCTGGCCAGCCTCCTGGACCTGAATGACAAACTGTTCATACGTCTCCTCCGGGGTGGTCCAGTCCAGTCTGAGGGTATCCAAGCTAACCTCGGTCACTGTGAGGTTTCTCAGATCTGGAACCTCCTCTGCACAAGGACACAGAGTGGCTGAGTTATTAAGAGAAGGCAATTACATGCTGGGACTTAGGTGAGTTGATATTCTGGCTAAGGTGGTCATGAGTCTTCTGGTTAGTGTTGATTACAAATGCATGATTTACAGCAGCTATTAAGTATTGTAACTGCGAGCTCTAGAGCCAGAGTTTTTCTATTCAGTCTTTGAAAGTCAAATACAGTTTTAGGAATTGTTCTCTACTTTCATCCTTGTGATACAAATAGCACCTTCGGGGAATCTTTTGGTGCATTCTGGGAATGAGTTCAGAGCTATTATTTTAAAAATTTCACTTCCAAGTTGTGCTTTCCAATCTCTTACGTATTATGACTAAAACTTGCTTTGAAACAAAAGTCAGGTCTCACTTTTCTACAGGGAGAGCAAAAAAAAAAGTAGAGGTGGAATTTTCCATGGGACAGGCTGCTGTGCTACTCTTAAGACTTGGCTGTATAAGGGAATATGACATTTAGGAAGAAGCAAGGATGATTCACCAGTATTCATTCAATGTGGTAGCAACTGATTATAGTTTAGAACAGAGCAGAGCTCTGGTCCCTCCTGAGAAAAGATAAAGACAATGAAACCAATTAGTGCATTGATGTAGAATACCTGTCAAGACTTCAACAAAGAGAGGGGCTGTGCTGAAGCCTTGAGTGACCCCGCGGATGGCGATGGTATAATGAGTGTCTGCTTTGAGCCCGGTGAGGTCCACAGACCTCAGTTCTCCTGGGACAGTGAGATTGTGAGGTGGCTCTACTGTGTCTGTCTCCTGCACCTGAATGGTAAAGAGCTCATAGGCTCCTTCGGGAGCAGTCCAGTTGAGCGTGAGGGCATCCCAGCCCACCTTGGCCACTTCTACCTCTCCCAATTTGGGAGTGTCCCCTGGAGAAGAACAAAGAACTAGTTTAATGTTCAAATAAAACCTCAAAGTCTAGGAAATCTTTAACACAAGAATAAACTTTATGTCACATGAAAAACTTGTCTTTGGATATATAAACATGCATCATGCAGCCTCTTAAGCTTTAGAAATGTAGTGAAGGGGCAGAGGTGCAGGGATATATTTGTTTTTTTTAATTAGGGATTTGCACAAACTTTCAGCAGATGTGGAAATTAGTCCTGTGATTTTTTCAAGATTCCCTTTCAAATGTACTATTACCTTAATAAAGCTGAACGAGAGTACATGTTTGTGAAGCTAAAGGTCCCCTCCATTGGAACTGTGTGTATAGTTCCACAGGCTGGATTCTGCAGAGCTCTACCAGGCATCATTCACATAAGAGTATAGTCTAAATGGTGCCTTTGCATTGTGTAACTTAATAACCTGGCTACAAATACTAATTCATTATAACCTATGGAGGAAAAAAAGTCCATGCAAATAAAAAGAAATGTTTCATTATACTTGGATAGTTTCCTGTTGGAAGAACAAATATATGGGTAGAAACATAAGAGATACCTGTGGAGGCCTCAGTAGAAAGCACTGGTGTTTGATAGCCCCGAATCACCCCGTAGATGGTGACTCTATAAGGGGTGGCAGCCTTGAGGCCTGGGATGTCTACAGCCCTGAGGTTGCCGGGCACCGTGAGATTCTGAGCTGTCTCCACCTTGTTACCCTCCTGCACCTGAATGACAAAGTGTTCATAGGCCAGAGCATCTGTAGTCCAGTTGAGTTTGAGGCCATCCCAGCCAACCTCAGTCACCGTGAAATTTCCCAGCTCGGGGGCGTGTTCTGAATAATGACAGAGATGGTGTTAGTTACATCAGTCCTTAAAGCACGTTCGTCCTGAGATGATAAACCTGCCGCCAGTGAGGAAAGACTTCTAGGGCCTGGCATGGTGTTGTCTCACTCCGTCCCTTTGTGGTTCTCTACTCCTTAAATCACCAATGAGGGAAAAATCAATGTGGTTACCTTGTCCTTATACTTACTGGGTTTTGTATTTGAGAAATGTTATTTTCTTATTGACCTGTACTGTGTAAATTTTATAAGTACAAGTTAGTACCCAGTTGGTACAAATAATGTGTACTCGATTACTAACTTAAAGATTGATGGTTCAAGCCTATCATTAACCGATGCAATAATTGACAATGGAAGAAAGGCCTTGTCATGTGCTTTCATTAAGATTACAACCAATTCAAGCTTATGGAGCACTTCTGCTTTGTAACACATGGCGTTGCCACAGTCAGAACAGACTGGTGATAGGCATACTTCCGTGGCACTCTGGGCCCTAGTTTCCATTTTGGAAAGTGGAAAGGAATTCTTAGATTGTTTGTGGCTTTGGTCTGAGCTGTTAAGCCTCTGGTTTTTTGAGATCATTGGCTTCTCTCATTTCCCTCTCTTTTCATTTCATGCCTCCTCAATCTCTTCTGGCAGGTTACTTTACAATTTTTTTCCTGTGGTTTTGTAAGTTTCTGCATTCAAGTCAATTTACTCAGTCAATTTGCTTAGACCACTTCTACAAAGATTAAAGATGAATTAACATAATACAAGTAAGGCAGAACCAAGAAGGCAGCAAATCTTTGAAAAATTATCCCTTATTGGAAAGAAAGACTGAGAAAAATTGAGCTTATTAAACTCAACTTAAATTGTATGTAGCATCCTCATTCATTTCCTGAACACAGAGAATACAGTAAACACTCAGTCTTAAGGAACTGATTTTTTATTTAGTCCTGGGCTGAGCTCAAGTGGACTTTGCATAACTTATGAAGAAATATTTTCTTAGGAAATAAGTCTTTTCATCGAGAGTGTAGAAGTTGCCTTTACTCATTTAAAAGAACAAATTATTCTTCTGTTTATCCTTAATAATAATCCTCTAACTTTAAACTAACACCATGTGCATAATGCAAATGACACAACCCTGCTTGCTGAAACTAAGGAGGACCTGAAGCATTTGCTACAGAAGGTCAAAGACTGCAGCCTTCAATATGGATTGAAGATCAACATCAAGAAAATAAAGATTCTCACCACTGGGCTGATTGGCAGCATCATGATAGACAATGAAGAGATTGAGATTTTTAACAGCTTTAGTTTGCTTGGCTCTTCAATCAACACTCTCGGTACCAACAGCCAGGAAATTAAAAGATGAATTGTATTGAGAAAGTCTGCTGTCAGAGACCTCTCCAAAGTACTGAAGAGAAACTATGTCAGTCTTGAGACTAAGGTGCGCCTGACCCAGGCCACGTCTTTGTAATCACTTGCTATGCATCAGAAAGCTGGACAATGACTAGAGATGATAGAAGGAGAATTTATAACTCTGAGCTGCGGTGCTGGAGAAGAGTAATTAGTATACCATGGACTGCTAGGAGAATAAACAGGTTCATGATAGGGTAAAACCAGGCTGTTCCTTAAAGGCAAGGATTCTGAAGCTTTGTCTGACATACTTTGGACATGTTGCAAGGAGGAACCATCATGCTTGGGAGGGTCGAGGGACAGTGCAAGAGAGGAAGACCCTAGATGAGATGGAACGATTCAGGGACTGCAGTAATGAGGTGTAGTTGTGTCAGACAATAAGATTGACACAGGATAGAACAGGACATAGGGTTGTTTTACACAGGGTTGTTATGAACTACAAACAACTCAATGTACATAACAACAACAACAACAAACATGTGTCCATTTACAGTGACTGCAATAATGAATGGACTTGAGATAGCACAGAGTATGAGGATAGTACAGGATAGGGTAGTGTTTCTGTAGGTAGCTGTCTTTCAAAGGAAGGAAGCCCCAGGCTAGTAGCTTCTTTGCTGGGGTACATATTTTCTCCAGTGCTACCACCTTTTCAAATACTATTATAATTTGTAATTTGGACCATACAAAAGCCTTATAACTGGTCTTTCTGCTCCCATATTTGCCTCCTTACTGTTTCGTTTCTAAAGAATATTCAGAAGGGTGTTTTAAAAAAAATATCTTTTTTCTGCTCCCAGCCCTGCAATAACTCACCTTTACACTTGGACATGTTATGTACCATCACCCATAGTTGAAAATGAAATCTCCTCTCTCTCTCATCTATCTATCCATGTACTTATCATATATCCATCTAATCTGTCTAATCTCTTTCATTTATTTCCCTTCCTTCTTCCCTTCCTTTCTAGCTCCTCTACATATCTATGTATCTACCTATCATCAGCATCTATCTACCATCTGAATGATGTTTGTTTTACTCATCACAGTGCCTTTAGATTTTTGAGAGCGTGCTTCATAATTATTTGTTAACCAAGTGAACAAAAAATCAAATGTTGCCTACCACTCTCCCTGCAAGGACACACATGGTCTGAACAGTTACTATACATAAAACAAATTTGCTTTGTATTGGCCTTTTAAATCAAGAATAGTGTGATGGTTTTCAGGGTGTAAATCCTGAAAATCCCAATATTTAATCCCAAGAAGGCTGTTGCAAGGTCATAAGGTAATAAAAATGGTGATTTCACTGATGTAGCAAATGCTAGACAAACAAGTAAGAAGTATTACTTTTGAGAATGAAATCAGAAAATAAAGGAAGAGGGGTAATGCCTCAAGTCTGTGAGATGAAGTATTAACATTTTTGCCCCCAAAGGAGCATGCTGGTGGCATTGTCTCCAAGACATATCTGTTTGTTCTTTTGACTGTCCATGGGATCTTCAGCACGCTTCTCCAACACCATAACTCAAAGGTATTGATTCTTCTTTCGTCATCCTTAGTCATCGTCTCAGCTCTTGACTGCAAAGACTATAGCCTGAATCAGGTGCACTTTAGCCCTTAAACTGACATCATGACTTTTCAGTAATCTGGAGAAGTCCCTGACTACACACTTTCTAAGTGCAATACATCTCCTGATTTCCTGACTGCTACTAGCAAGGAATTACGCTGCTAAAGCAAAGTATATGGTTTGAATCTACCAGCAGCTCAATGGGAGAAAGATGGGAAATCTCTTTCTATGTAATTTACTGCCTCCAAAAATTTGCTGGAGGGTCAGCTATAGGTCAGTTCGACTGGATGGTCTAAAATAACAACATCACTTATATCCATTTCAAAAGAAGAGGAGTGACGTAGAGAAAAACACAGCAGACAGTAATTGAGGTGGGGACCAAGTCTCTACATAAATGCTGAATATGCATTTCAACTGTAAAGGACAGTCTTGTAGGCTTACTGACCCAGAGGCCAAGTGTTTCCGTTGTGTAGTTACTCATTGAATTTCTCGACATTTCTTTATGAAAAGGCTACTGTCTTTTTCTTACAGCTGTGCACCAGAATCTATCCTCTGAACAATGTCAGTGGGCCTGGGAAATTTGTTGCAAAATCCCATTTCTCTCCTTATGGTGGGTGAGAACAGCTGACCTGGTGGAATTTCTGGGAACATCAATTTCAAATCTTCAGATTCCCACCATCTTGTTGATAGAAGTTATAGCTCATGTCTGGACAAGAGTGTTAAGTACCAACTTGAAGAGAAATCTACTTGTGTTCACTAGAAAGTCAAATCTAAACCTTCTCCTCCTGTGAAATTAACTGCCTCTGAAAAACTGCAGCTGGGTCAGCTATGGTTCTGTTCTGACTGAATGGTACATGATCACAATAACTATGAAATTGCTTCAGTCTAAATTTGCTAAAATGAGGCAATCAAAATGAAAAGTTTTGCCTGCCAGAAGACCATTCAATGATTCTTTCTCACTGTCAAGAATGAAGTCCAACCTTTTTAACATCACATTCATAGATCTGTTTAGACAGATATCTCATAGCTGGGTGATAACAGAAACCAATAGACTTGGGCAGAGGCTTCTCCAATCTCTAGCATCAATTTTCCTACTTTTTCTTGCAAACGCCCTGGCAACAGTTTTTATATAGGCACCAAACCAGGTTGGGTGTGTCGGAGACAGTGAGATTGGCACAGGGCAGGGTTTAGGGCTGTTGTACATAGGGTCTCTATGAGTCGCAAGTGACTTGACGGCACATAACAACAACAACATCATCATAACCAGAAGACTATCTTATCTAGTCTATGCTCTCTACAACTAAGAGTGGCCACTAAGTAGAAGTCGTTGCTGAGACTTCCTGAAATGATTGATGAGGAGATGGTAAAAGTTCTGCAGCAGCCATGCTGTGACATTGAGGAGTCTTTGAAAATGAAAACCAGGAACTAAGAATAGTATAAAATAATGATAAAAAGAGTCCCTGATAATATGGATCAGGCCGTCCCTGAGCCACTCAAGTCCAGTTTTATTCTAAGAAATAAAACCAACTTCTCGGTCTTATTGATATCATTGTGGTTTGATGTTTACGTTATATGCAGATGAGATAACTAGATAAAGGAAAAAGACTCCTCAAAACATTTCAAAGTAAGTATGTTTCATTTTATAATCCTTTCTCTGCTTATCAAAGTTCAGCTGGAGCAATAGCATAGCTAGCCATTCATCATTCCCCTGCTAACTCCCTTCCTTTGATTAAAGGCCATCTAACATTCTGAGTCCCTACTCTTCCTTGAAAACTGGCATTTGGAGTACATGAGGCAATGTAACCTTACTTATCTTCATGACTTGGTTCTCCCTAAAGTATGAATATGATACACAGTGTGCTGTAGGTGCTTAATGAATGCTCACTAATGCAATTTTCAATAAAGATGATAATTTGACAAACTCTGGAAAAAAATTACCCACTTATATTTTTGACAGGGTATCTTGGGATCCAAACAAAATGTGCACATTTTTATGTAGGAAGAACATCCTGCCACCCCAATTATTACTTTAATTTAGCCCCTGAGGAAAAAGACAGGATGTTTGTTGCGGAGGATTATTAAGCTATTGTCTTGGAAAACCAGGGTTCCCTCCTAGTGACTAAATGAAAAGAGCAAATGCAAGGCCCTTCAGAAGCCTCAAAGGCCCAAGTGTAACTTCTCAGTGGTAATCCTACAGAAAAGGAAAAAAGACCTGGAACAAAATAAGCTTTAATGAAAGGAAAATAAAGAACTTATTATAAACGTCTCAGTCATCTAAAAAATAGAAATCAATTGTTAGGTTATTGGAGAGACTGATGTGAAAAACAATTTAGAAGAATATGTAAAATACATAGTTTATAAAAACAAACACATTTTTTAAAAGCACAACCCTAAAGAGAAATGAACAAACACTAAGCTTTAAGTTCCACTAGGAAGAAATATTAAGAATTACTATTGCCCCAGTAAAGAGTTATTGCTGAACTGGTTGACCAAGGAAAACGTTAACAGTGGAAAAAGGCAAGGAAATGGCTCATAAAGCAATGCTTAGTGACATCATGAACAGAGAAAATAGCACTTATTTCCCCTGATTTTCGAATGTGTGTCCAAATTTGTCAAAGGAATCCACAAACCTCAGAATCAACAGAGGAATTGGAGGGAATTCAGAGGTAAGACTCACCCGTGGACGCCTTTACTCGGGCGGGTTTGCTCTTGTGTCTGCCTTTCACAGCTGTGAGTAGGATGGTATATTCCTGCCCAGGCTCCAGGCCTTTCAGAACATGGGAGGTGGTGTCTCTTGGGAGCTGCACCTCCATCTGCTGCCCTGTGGGGAGGCTGTAGTTGAGGCGGTAATGGTCAAACTTGGCCAGGGGAGTCTTCCAGAGCAGATTCAGGCTGGTGTCCGTACTTTCAGATACTCGCAGCTCCTTGGGTGCATCCATGTCTGTGAGGGAAAGAGACAGCACCACTGAGGCTGTTTCTGAGGCTGAAAATTGGTAATTTCTGCACCATGATCCTAGTTCTGCCGTGCAGAGGCTGTGTAGCTTCAGCAATTCACTAAGTCTTAGCTTTCACCTTTATTAAGGGGTATTTATCATGCATTATACGTATAAATATACATTTTAGAAGATTGAAAAGGAGTATGGTCTATCTCTGGACCATGGTATGACACTGGACAATTAAGTAAACTGTTGATTAAAAACGATAATTAAAATAATGATTCATTTTGTTAATTTTCAAAGAAGTTGAGTGAGAAAAGTCAATCTCAAAGGTCCTTCATTGTTTGATCCCTTTTATATAATACTCTCCCAAATGGCAAAATTATAAGGAACAGATTAGTGATTGCTAGATGTTAGAGGAGATAGTGTGTCTATAAAGGCATAGCATGATGGGACTCTATACTGTGTCTTGAATCCAGCTCGGTGGCCTAGTGGTAAGAAGTTGCATTACAGTCCCGAAGACATGTGGTTCGAGGCCACCAGCCACTCCATGGGAGATTGCCCTTCTTGAACTGAATCATACTTGATATAAGAGCCCCTTGCCACCCTCACCAACAGGTTTAGAGCTACAGGATGTAACATGTAAGTGCAGACATTTCTAAGAAGGCAGGACCTGAATGAAATGTTTGTCCTGGCACTTTGAAATCTCTTTGTGAATAAATAAGTTTGGTATTTTCTCATAGGAAAGTCCCAAAATATGTCTTAATTAGATAGGAGTTTATATAAAAAAGGGGGATTAGTTATCAACATCAAAAATTTGTGTATTTCTTATACAATCTGGTTCAATTTTTTCTTTAAAAACATCCCTTCACTCCATTCCTGTGCGGCATGGGTAGCACTCACATCTTTGAAGTGGGCTGTTCACTCCCTGTGCCTGTTTACTGACTTTTCTTCAGAGCTAGACACCTGGGCTTAATGCTCTCAGAGACCACTTTCTCCTCTGCTTCTCTGTGTGTGTGTGTGTGTGTGTGTGTGTGTGTGTGTTTCTGCCACACCGGAGTTTTTCTCTGTTGCTCAATCTGCCAGCCAGCTCTGTGGTTCTAGCATCTGAGATGCTGCTCACCTGTAGCTGCATTCATAGTGGCTGGATTGCTCTCCTTGTCTTCTTTCACAGCAGACACTCCAATGCCGTATTCAGTTCCCGGCCTCAGACCTACAGGGAAACATGTAAGTTAAGACTCAGTCTAAAACCACAAAGACTTGTAAATGAGGACCATGGCAATGACTTTGAGCCGACCCATGAAGGCTGTCATTTCTCAGTGCCCAGACACTGAGAAGTCTCTAGCTGAGAGCTAGACTTAGTTGTTTCTCTGGAAAATTGCAAAGTGAGGATACAATCCTTCAATCACCCCTGGGTCCCACAGGATCAGGGCTGTAGAACTTGCCTGTAAGGGTGGTTCTGGTTGTGGCTTGTTGGCTCTTTGGGACATCCACCTCTGCGTGGTCACCTCCTGAGATTGGTGCATACTTGATTCTGTAGTTGTCAATGGCTGCCTTCCCATTCCTCCATTCCAGGGTGATGCTGTTGTCTGTCTGGGAGATGCGTCTGAGATTTCGAGGAGCATCCAGGCCTGTTTGGGAAAGCAGAGGACCTCTTTTATGAAGACACTTGATGTCAGGAAAATTAGATTCTTAGACAGTACAACTTGTCATGCATAAGATGCTACCACTGGGGAGAGACAGCAAACTAGCACACATCACCCTCTGCCTTGGTACCGCATCCACTAATCTAAACAAATATGACATTTTTGGTACCTTTCCCTATTACTAGTGTGTGCACGATACATTTGTCATTACTGTTTTCCTTAGGTTTTATCCTGAAAATATTATCACAAACATGAATAATTAGCTCTGCTATATTTATCACTATATTCCTAAAAGCTTATATGGGTAGTACTTACTGAACACATAAAAAAATATTGTCTGAGTGAATGACTGAAACTTTGATACTTCAATGTCATTGACTCAGAAGTTAGGAAGGTATCTTCATCCTACCTTTTCCCTCATTGATTGTATGTTATTCTTAACATATTTACTTAATTTTTATTTTAACCAGAATCTTTCTCAGGGAACGTTAAATCAGAATTATTGATGTATGATCTCCTTGTGTGAAACTTTGGTGGCCTAGTGATAAGAAGCTGTGCTGCAATCCCAAAGATAGGCAGTTCAAATCCAGCAGCTGTTCTGCTGAAGAAGGAAGGGCAATCTCCTCCAATGTGATTTACTGCCTCTGAAAACCTTCTGGAGGGTCAGTTATAGGTCAGCCCTGACCTGACTGGACATGACAACAAGAACAACTTCACTTAGAGACCATGTTGTCACCCAGAATTTAGCATTTACAAAAACAGTAAGCTAGTTACTATCTGTGCACTAGTAGTGAACATCTGGCGATAATGAATACTAAGGTAAAGGGAGGAATCACTATGAGTGGTAGGTGACCCTATAGCAACACCAATGACAACAACAATAACGAGGGAGTACATTGACTGTAATGGTTAATGTTACATATCAGCTTGGCTGGGTCATGATTCTCAGTGGCTTGCCAGTTAAGCAATGACGTAGTTTGGCACTTTTGAAATAATAGGACTGGGAGGTTGTGTCATGATAATGTCGTTGTTAGGTGCTGTGGAGTTGAGTAGAACTCTTAGTGACTCCTGCACAACAAATCTGAACCCTGTCCCTCCCTGTGCCATCACTAGCATTTCTGACATACTGGACTCCTTTGTAGCAGTCACTATGTTAATCCATCTGGTTGAGGGTCTTCCTTTCTTTTGCCACCTTTTCAAGAATGTTGCCCCTCTCCAAGGAACAGCCTTTCCTTTCCTAATAATGTACCCAAAGTATGTGAGATGAAGCTCTGTCATACGTGTAATGCTACAGTCATCCTCTATTTTGTGATCTGATGTGGTCATTCTTAATTTTTTACCTAGTGCCAATTTTTACTTAATAAACTGGTCTTTGGAAACTATGTTAGTACGTGATTATTTAAGCAGTATTCTTTGACTTTTTTTTTTAGTTTTACAATTTATACATATTTTGTTTTATGACATTTATTACAATCCCCGCATTGTATCAGCACTCTCCCCTTCCTCTCTGTGGTTCTTATTTCCACTCAACCTTCATATTTTTTTTTTTTTTTAATGAAAGTTTACAAAGACTTTGGATTTTCATTCGGTCATTGTTGCATACTTTTCTCCCTGCCCACACCTCCCCTCAGTTCACTTTCCTCTTTGAAAAGTAAAAAACCAAAACAAAACAAAACAAAAAAACCCAACAAAAACCAAAAACCAAAGCAAAACCAAACTTTCATTGTTATACAATCCCCCCTCCCTTACCCCAGTCCACTCCACTATGCAGCTTTCATTCTGGACTCTTGTCATGACAATACTACCTAATTATATATTCCTCTTAAACAGTTCTTTCCCTCTGTGGCTACTTTTTCTTTGAAAAGAATAATTGGTATAGTATTTTGAAAGAAAATGCAAAGGAATGAAAATCCCCACTTGCCTTTTCTACTATAAAATGAGTTTGGAAGCCCCCTATGATGGCTAGATTTATGTATCAATTTGACTGGGTCAAATTCTCAAGTTATTTCTACAGCAGCCTATGTATTATTATAAACAAACTGTAGATGTGGTTAACTCTGTAATAGAAAATGGAGATGAGCCTCATGCAATGAGTTGAAGACCTTGTGAGTAATAACTAAGTTTCCCAAAGAAGAGATTGTATTTCAATAGTATAGCATTAAAGCCCACCTGTGTTTTTAGTATGTTGGCGTGGTCTATGAAATTTGTGCTCAAGAATACATAAAATCTACCTGAGTTTCTAGTTAGCCTTTTTGTTATATGGATTTCAGACTTAGTACACTCCACTATTATGTGAGTCTATCTCATGAAAGAAATCTTTTTACATCTGTCCGTACCTGTGTCTGAATGCTTGCAGTCCTACTTGAATCTCTATTTCTGATCTGTGTATGTGTTTTTGTATTTGTATGTCTAGCTCTTCTGATTATATTTCTTTGAGAAGGATTTCTGATACAGATTCAACAAGGAACAGCATAGCAGTCTCACAATCTTTTCTCTACTTTTTACCTGTTGTGAAGGTCTCTTTGGCAGGGTTGCTTGACATGTCAGCCCTACGGGAAATTAGAGACACTTCGTACTCAGTGTCTGGCTTCAGGTTTCCAATGGAGTACTGATTCTCATCGTGGGTGAGGTCGATGGTGGTGCGGTCGCCTGGTACGTCTTTGATTCCGTAGGAGAGCTCGATGCCATCAATCTCAGCCAGGGGCTTGGACCAGGTGATCAGAGCGGTGGTGTCTGTGACATCTTTCACCTCAATTTGGCTGGGAGCATCCAAACCTGTGACAAGCAGAGGACATTTGGTTTCAGAGACCTGGGCCAGTGCCAGTGGTTGATAGAGAGGATGTGAGGACCACTGACTCGTGAGGGTACATTTCAGTGTTGTTCACTTCCCACTTGACCTTATTTTAACTTTCTTGAGCATCTGTGGAAGTTACCTTGTAAGAGTTTTTATTTTTTCAAATAATAAAGCTGTATGTAGCCTAACACCTAGCATGTAGCAGTTGCATGGTAAATGGTCATTGTTTTGTTGTTATTGTTATTCCTATTTTTATAAGTTGAAGAAACATGCTTAGGATTATTTCACTTGAAAAATTTTATTTAGTCTCTCTAGGGAGCTCTGGCATCCTAGTGGGAAGAACCTGTGCTGCAATTGCAAAGGCAAGTGGTATGGATCCACCAGCTGCTCCACACGAGAAGAATGGACTGTCTCCTCCCGTGCTTGATGGCACAGCACAGCAACAGCAGCTGCCATATTGAATTAGGTCTAGTGGCATAGTCCATAGGGAGTTGGGTGGTTAAACCAGCCTCTCTAGAGGTTTGACTCCACCAATAACTTAAAGAAGGAAAGATGGACTATCTCCTCCTGTGTGATTGGCAGTCTCGGAAAATCTGCTGAAGGGCCAGCTATGGGAACAGATTTCTTAATTAGACAAAACTTATCCTATTATTGATTGCTTCTCTAGTGTACTATCAGAATCATGGTATAAAAGAATGAGACAGTGACTATTTCAACACGCATAGAAAATTCTTTTTGATTGAGAGACGTTAGACAAGAAAGTATCATGTTCTCTGACTACATGCTGCTTGAGATTCCAGAAGATTTATGTTATTTCTCATCTCCTGGTCCTCAAGTGCGCTATGCTCTCTCTTCTCCCTAAGATCGGCCCTCTCTGTTCAATTGTCTCCCATTCATCTTTCAAAATCTCAGCAACATCATCTTTTATTAGAAGCTTTCTTTGACCCAATCATAATCTACCTTACAGTTGAGATTGCCCTCACAAAGAGAATTCTAACATTGTACTTTTTTCATTATTCTTCAAAAGATCTATTGACAGTTTGCATAATTTCAGATGAGATTATTCATTTTTTTGTACTATGGGTTTTAGGTTTTTCTTAATCCCCAACATGGAGCTCACACACCTATTAAGGATTCAGATGACCCAGTAAAATGCACAGTGAAAATGATAAAACTGTGTCCCTTAAAACTATTGTGTATCAAACATGGTTAAAGTCCTCTAATATATATTCTAATACATATATATACACACACACACATATACCAATAGGAAGAAGCAGAAATTATTTTTTTTACTAAAAGCTAATGTTCCTTTAAATGTGAACATGGAATAAATATAGATACAAGATAATTATTTAATTCTGAAGCTTCAAATGTTGGGGTGTTTGCCCTACAATAAGAAGAAAAATAAAGCAGCCACTCCCCCAATTTATATTAAGAAGCAAAAAAGAGGAAAGAAATGCCTTTTGTACTTTTGGTGTACTTTGTCTACAACAAATAACCATTTGCTAAGTCTTTTCTACAGCTTTCTGGTGATCTAATGGTTTTTCCTGTCGGTACCTGCCTCCTACCTACCACATAGCTCTGTTGTCAGGATGATGGAAAACATTTGCTTATTAAGGAGACAATCCCATGAATTGGCTCTGAGCTTGGCAAAATGTGCAAATATTTAAATGCAAGATGTTCTTTCCTGCCATCAGCTGACAGATTTAACTTTTTCCAACAGCCCCCTGCCAAGGGTTGTTAATTTCTTAAGTTGTAGGTACTTATGCTTTATAAAGCCTCATTTATAAAAAAGATTTTATAAAATGGCAATTTAAAAAGACTTTGAAGGGGTTTGTTTTTGTTTTTTTTTTTAAAGTTTTCTTCTTGGTAGGGTTAACTCCAAACTCAGATCCTGTTTTTCCCTTAATGAAAAAAAAATATCTAGTAATGCAAAATCTTTTTTTACCCAAGCAACCCTGATATCATTACTTTATCTAGGTTACTGTAGAAAATATGGGATAAACATGGTATATAAACCCTAGTTGATAATCTCTGGCCTAAAGTGATGGCTTTGATACTATAAGCCATGTGATATTACTGTTGTTCTGTATCAGCAAGTTGGAACCCAAAGCTGACCCTCCAGCTGGTGTTTAGAGTCCATAAATCACACAAAAGGAGACTGTCAATCTTTCTCCTGCAGAGCAGCTAATGGATTCAAACCACATGTCTCAGGAATGGTATGCCTTAGGAGTGGCAATGCAACTTCTTACCAGTAGGCTACCAGAGCTCCCTAAACATTATTATCACTGTCCTATTAGGGAGCTCTGGAGGCCTACTGGCAAGAAGCTGCACTGTAATCCTTAGTGCATGCAGTTCAAGCCCCTCGGCTGTTCTGCAGGAGAAGGATGGGCAATCTCCTTTCGTGTGATTGACTGCCTCTGAAAACCGGGGAGTCAGCTGTTGGTCAGTTCTGACTGTATGGTACACAATAACAACAACAATTAGGTTAGAGATACTTTACATATCTGGGAGTGTTTTTATGAATAGAAAGGAATACTATATACCTATACAAACATTTGTCTTACTGATGTTAGATACAAACTACATCTGTTGTAATTTACATACAAATTTGACTTAAAGTCATGTGATGTGCCATGTGATGTTAGCTAAATTTCTTTAACTTCTCTAAGCTTCAATTTTTATTCTTGAAAAAGAATGCCATTAGTATTTCCCTTGCCTCTGTTAAAGGACTGCCAATAAAATAAAACTAGATGATGAAGTAGACTGTTTGCAATGGCTTCAGTTATTTCCCTCCCTATATTTACATGTCTTTGAAATGTAATTTTGAAGTGCATCTTATCAAGAAATGGATTTGGTTGGCCCTTCTTTTAGATACCCAATGGCTTTAGGACTTACTTTGATCTGCAGAATAGTGCAAGTGATAGGGTACCAGCCTTAAACCTGTATCTTTACTTGTGTAACAAACCTTGCACACTTTCCCTTGTTCTTGTGGAGGATCCACTTAGCTACTACGTGAATAGGCTCAAGCTAGCCAGTTGGGATTGGGAGACCTTGTGGAGGCAAAAGTCAGCCTAGGTCAACCAGTCACTGCTACATAGATGCATGAACGGGCCCAACCGAGACTAGAAAAATTCTTCCTTGAACCTAAATTGCCAACCTGTAGAGCTCTGTTAAGCGATAAACTTTGGTTTGTTACTCAGCAAAAACCAATTGGTACAGATGTAATAAAAGCACACACTTTATTAACTAGAAGGTATTGTTGTTAGCTTTATTATTGTATTAGTAGCATTAAAGTAATACTCACGGGTAGTGGTCACCCTCTTGAGGCCAGGACCCCGGGTGTTGTTTTTCACAATGTGCAATGAGATCTCGTATTCTTGCCCAGGAGCGAGGCCAGTTTGCCGGTATGTGGTCTCTGGTCTCCTCAGGCTTTTTGTGATTTCTCCATCTTCTTTATTCTGAAAGGTAGAGACAACTCGGTAAGACTGAAAGGAAGTACAAACTTCTTTATATGACTCAGCATTTCACAGTCATTCACTCTTCAGTTAACTCATTCACTAAGCACTTAAATACAAGATATTTCTCAAGGATTTTTCGCCAGTTTTGGATGCCCAGGTTAAATGAAAGAATGGGAGTTGGAAAATTTCTGAAACTATAAGCTCAACTCCTCTTTTGATAGACTATGAGAGCAATACCAGAGAAGTCCAGTTTTCTAGTAATCACAAGTGTGATGGGTCCTGGGCTCAGAATGGGAAGCTTGGTTCCCTGCCTCACATTGTATTTAGTCCCAAAGAGAAGGGATGCCCAATCAGAGAAATCCAATTACTCTCTTCTTTGCCTCTGGGGTAAGATTTGCTAGTTTACTAAGGGCATAAGAACTTAGAGACTACTTAAATTGTATTTATTTAGGCTTTTTAAGGAAGAGAGCCACTTGGTGGCCTAGTGGGAAGGAGTTGCTGCCAACCCAGAAGAAAGCAGTTTGAATTCACCAGCTGCTCTGCAGGATAAATGTCTTTCTATATATTTATAGCCTCTGAAAACCCTCTGGAGGATCAGCTGTGAGTCAGTTCTGATTCAATGGCAATCAGAGAGAGAGAGAGAGAGAGAGAGAGGCTCTCTTAGCCCTGAGGACTATTTTTTATTGACTTATTAAAATCAGAGGGAAACTAAAGTCACTTAAAATACATATGCACACATATATTGTTAATTTTAGAGCCTTGGGCCCCTCTAACACAGAGGAATAATAGTTGATGTGAATGTCTGTAGAGCCTTGTGGTCTGCTTTGAGATCCTGTAAGTCTTTGTGCTCTTTACCATATTCCGGAAGATGATCTCCCAGGTTTCGAAAGCAATGTCCAGAGGATCCCACTCCACTTCCACAGATGTCTCCTTGATGGATTTGAATTTTAAGCCTTCAGGCGCAGGCAGGTCTGTCAGGAACAAAACAAACAAGAGGTGAGAGGGAGAAGAGGTGTGATGAGGCAATGTAGCCATGACTTCCCCTACACCTGAGGAATATGCCTCCCTCAGGCAGGGTCAGCTAAAAGTTGTTTAATGGTTTTTGTAGGAAACTACGGAGAAAACAAAACCAAAACAAACCTACTGCCACAGAGCCAGCCCTAGCGTCAGTTCTGATTTACGGTGACTCTCTAGGACAGAGTAGAACTGCTCCATAAGATTTCAGAGGCTGTGAGTTTTTACGAGTGCAGATCATCTCAACTTTCTTTTGGGCCTGGTGGCTTCACACTACTAACTTTTCTGTTAACAGCCCAATATTTAGCTTACAGTACCACCAGAACTCCCTTATCTACTGAAAGGAGCAGGCAAATCAACGGTAAGATCGACCATGGAACTACTAACCGGAAACAACTAGTAGTTATTGAGCTGGTACTGAATCATGATGACCCCTTGTGCACAGAGCACAACTATCTGTATTCTATAGAGGTTTTCAAGGCTATGACCTTTTAGAAACAAATTGTGTTTTTTTATTGTACCACCAGATTTGATGGCTTTAGTATTGTCAATTTTTAGTTTGTAATTGAGCACTTTTTTGGAAGCAGAAGTGGCTTCCACTTCCTAAACAGCATGCCTCTGGAAACTCTATGAACTTTGAGAAATCACGATAGTTATAAAAAGGCTTCAGGTCTTTTGTTCATAGGGTCACTATGAGTCGTGCTCATATCTATGGCAATCAACAACAACAATTGGGTACTTGTTTATTATTGAGTAAATATTTATTTACATCACCTAGAAATTTTCACCCAGTAAGAGCCTAGGATTTGTAATCAGACAGACTTGGGGTCAAATCTATGCTAAATTACAGCTACTTCTATGACCTTAGACAAGTTGTGCAAATTAACCCTGAGCCCTGGTTTCCTCCTCCCTGAGAAAGAGGCACACATGCCTGCCCCTTGGGAGTATTTTGAGGCCTAAGTAAAATAATCCATGTGAAGTGCTGACTGGTGTTGCTGACATCCAGCAGAAGTTCCATCAATAGCAGCTCCTGTTGTTATTATTACTAAGCAAGAAAAGGCCCATTTCCAGCCGTAATTTGATTTTCAGTGGGAATAATTTTGCTAGGGTTAGACTCTTAAAGGAATAACTTGAGCCTCAGTGTTTCCACTTCTGCTTAATTATTTCTCATGAGTAGACAGAGAGATGCATAGGAAGGTAATGGAGCAAAGCGCTTAAGAACATGGACCCTGCATTCGGAGTGTGGGGTTCAAATCTCATCTCCACTGCTACTGAACTGGTAAATTGGGACAAGAGACATAACACTTCTTAATCTTATGTGTGTATCGAGGCTGCCTGTAGCACCCAGCTCTTAAGACTCTTCTAAGGGTTCAATGAGTTAGCACTGCAGAGACTACTTACTACAAACTGAATCCTTACTAATGCTGGCAATAAAGATTCTTTGTGGTGGGTCGTTATTCTCTCCCCTGTGTTTGTATCAAATAAGGAGATAAGTAAATATGAATGAGTTTAAGTGAATTCCGATAGTGCAATGGTGAACTGCTCTGTGGCTAATGGAAGTTGCCAGTTCTAATCTATTAGCTGCTCTGAGGGAGAATGTACTCAGTGATCTGCTTGCAGAGAGATTAAAACAAAGAGCTGGCTACTAAGGAGTTGATTCTGACTCTCAGTAAGTCTCCTTTGGATTCCTGAGGCTGTAAATCTTTAAAAGGCAAGATAGCTTGGCTTTCTCCTGCAGAGAGGCTGGTGGATTTGAACTGCTGACCTCTTTCATTTGCCTTGCAGCACATACTGCACTCCACCATCACAGCCTAGTAAATCTTATAGAGCAAACCTTATTCTGACCTATCGAGTTGCTGTGAGTTGGAATAAACATGATGGTACACAACATCACCACAAATGGATTCCAGGTTCTTGTTTGGAGCTTTTGGTCTGTGGGGTAGAGGCAAGGGGGAGTGGAAGTTGATGGAGCCTGGCCAAGGGGTTGTGTTCACTCACAGGTGGCTACCCGGGCACTAACGGGAATGCTCTTCTTATTCTCCAGGATGGCGAACACCCGGATGAAGTACTCCACACCAGGCTCCAGCTCCCGGATGGTGGCAGATGTCTGGTCCCCGGGGACTCGGAACTGCATTTCCAGCCCACCCACATGGGTGGGTGTGTATACAACAAGGTACTCTGTGACTCGCATCTCATTGTCCCAGGCCAGGTTCACGGTCTCTTCTGTTACTTCTGTCACGATGAGGTCTTTGGGAGGGGACACTGACAAGAATAAGAAAGGATATCTCGGATTAGTCATGTATGATTACAGATTCTCTCTAGGTTTGACTCTTTTGACTTCCTCTGCAGCTGCTTGTGACAAAGGCCCGAAGGTTCCTCCCTGAATTACAATTTCTGTTTTCTAAAAAAAAGTAGAACTCATCAAGGACACTGTGCTGTGATAAAACCTTCAGTGGGTGGCCACTGCCTTCAAACTAAAATTCAAAGGCAATGGTCTGGCATTCAGGGTTCTTTTTGGCCTGGCTCTTCCTCTGATACTTACACTCCTGGATGTTTAGGTGAACGTCACTGGCATGGAAAAGTGCACCTTGACCTTGGTGCCCTTCTCTGACTTCATGCCATATGTCTTTAGTACGAGAAGGGAATTTTGGATTCATTAGGTTCAACACTCTAATTTTCTAGGTGGAAGGGTAGTGAGGTGAGGAACTTGTCAAGATTGCTTACCTCATCCTGTTTGGAATTCCCCTCTACTCTCTGCCAACCTAATATCTTCCTAATATGCTCTCAACCAGAGTAGACCACATTACAAGGAGCTATTTGTTTAATTCTACGTATCAATAGCTTTAATCAAGTTAAAGGAGCTCTGGTGGCCTAGTGGTATACAGTTCAAATCTACCAGCTGTTTTGTGGCAGAAGTTTGTGCAATCGCTTCCTGTGTGATTTATTGCCTCTGACAACCTGCTGGAGAATCAGCTATGGATCAGTTCTGACTTGAAAGGCAACAAGTGATACCAATAGCTTTAATCAAGTTAGAAAGATACTGATAGCTTTAATTAAGGCCGAAATTCTCAGTCACGATAATTACAAATATTGGTGGATGGGGGGAAAAAAGTACAAAGACCACAAATGTGGTAACTCTTGTTCTTTGTTGTTCTCACCCAGGCATATATTTACATAACTCAAAACCAAGCCTACTGCTGCTTAGTCAATGACCCTCATCAAGTTGTAAATCCCTATAGGAAGATGATTTCATCCTTCCTTCTCCTGAAGGGCAGCTGATGGATTTGAACTGCCAACCTCTCATGTAGCTGCTCAGCTTGTACCATCCTACCATGGTTCCTTACTTTAAACCATATAGTTTATAGTAAGACTATCCTAACAGTTTTTAGGATGAAAGAAGTGATGATGATGGAAGAGACCAGTTCATCTGGGAGTCTTTAACTGAGTGTGCATTTTGAACAATTTGCTTTATGCAATTTCACTCTCCCATTTAATTCAGTAAAATTTTTATCTCTATCAAAAGTGATAGACTTAGTGTGCCATTTGTTCAGTCTCTGGAGAGTAGGAAAGAAGGTTGGGGTTAAACAATAGAGAAGTTACTATTTCATGAACCATCTTTGGCTCTGGCTATTGAACTCAGTTTAGAATGGCTCACTCACTCACTCAGTCACTGTCGTGGAGTCAGAGCCTACTCAGAGCTGACCTGACCAGAGATGGTTTCAGAGGCTGTAAACCAAACCGGAGTCTTTCTCCCATAGATCAGCTGGTGGATTTGGATCTCTCCTGCCTTTAGGTCTGTGTTTAGCTCCTTACCACTAAGTCACCAGAGCTCAGAGGAGGGGTTTATATGACTCATAGTAACCCTAAGAACGGCCTCTGATCCCTGCCTTATCCTGTGCCTCACCATTTCTAATATACTTGAGCTCATTGTTACAGTCACTGTGTCAATCCATCTCATTGAGGGTCTTCTTCTCTTTTGCTGCTGACTGTCTACCTTTCCAAGCATGATACCATTTTCCAACAAAGGGTTCTGGTCATTGTATTATTGTTAGGTGCCATCAAGGAAGAGTTAACAAAGGAAGGGTTAGGCAGGTTCAAATCTCAGCCCTGTGACACGCTAGCTGTGTGTCCTAGAGACATTCATCTAAATGCTTCAAGCCTAAGAACTGTAATGTGTAATGAGTGGATGACAAGTACCCTGTTGAAGAGCTCAGGGTGTGTGTGTGTGTGTGTGTGTGTGTGTACGGGTCAGTGCTGGTACTCACCCTCGGAGCAGTCTTCCCCGGCGTGGCCCTCATTGCAGATGCACCGTCCCAGGACACACTGTCCCCAGTTGCTGCAGTCATTGGGACAGGCGCGCTGCCCGCAGTCCAGGCCTGTGAAGCCCTCGTGGCAAATGCACTGGCCGTCCACACAGCGGCCCTGCCCACTGCAGTCAGCCGGGCACCTCCGCTCCTTGCAGTCTTTGCCCATGAAGCCCTCATAGCACACGCACTGGCCTTTCACACAGCGGCCCTGCTGGTGGCAGTCGTTCAGACAGGCGAGCTCAGCACAGTCCGGGCCTGTGAAGTCGTGGTCGCACACGCACTGCCCTTTCACACAGCGGCCCCTGTGGCTGCAATCCTTGGGGCATCGCAGCTCCCGGCAGTCCTCGCCCATGTAGCCATCGTCACAGACGCACATGCCGTTCACACAGTGCCCGTGCTGGTGGCAGTCGCTGGGACAGCTCATCTCCCCGCAGTCGTAGCCCTGGAAGCCTTGCTCGCACGTGCACTGGCCCTGGACACAGAGGCCTCGGCTGTTGCAGTCACTGGGACAGCGGCGGTGGCCGCAGGCCTCCCCGGTGTAGCCCTCGTCACACACGCACTGCCCGTTGACGCAGTGGCCGTGGTGGTGACAGTCCTTGGGGCACTTGAGTTCCCCGCAGTCAGGGCCCGTGTAGCCATCGTCACACTCACACTGGCCCTCGACGCAGCGGCCGTGGTGGTGACAGTCTGCGGGACACCTCTTCTCGCTGCAGTCCGGGCCCGCAAAGCCCTCGTCGCACACGCACTGGCCCTCCTCGCACCGGCCCTGGCCACGGCAGGCGTTGGGGCAGGTCAGCTCGCCGCAGTCCTCGCCGGTGAAGCCCTCTTCGCAGTAGCAGGTGCCGTTGACGCAGCGGCCCCGGTCGAAGCAGTCGTTGGGGCAGATGAGCTCGCTGCAGTCGTCGCCGGTGAAGCCCTCGTCGCACACGCACTCGTTCTCCACGCAGCGCCCGCGGCCGTAGCAGTTGTTGAGGCAAAGCGGCTCGTTGCAGTCCTCGCCTGCAAAGCCCTCATGGCACACGCACCGTCCGTCCACACACGTGCCGTGCTCCTCGCTGCAGGGCACCGGGCAGACCTCCTGGCTGCAGTCCAGCCCAGCATAGCCCTCGAAACACGCGCACACGCCGCCCACACACTTGCCCTGGTCGTTGCAGTCGCTGGGACAGGCCAGCTGGCTGCAGTCCTCGCCTGTGAAGCCCTCATCGCAGATGCACTGGCCGTCGATGCACTGGCCTTGCAGGTGGCAATTGTCAGGACAGTCGGGCTCTGAGCAGTTGGGGCCTTTCCAGCCGGCCTCACACACACAGCCGCATCCTTCGGTGCTGAAGTTCCCATGACCGCTGCAGAAGGGCGTGGTATCCAGACGGCCTGCAGACCAAGAGAAGAGGGGTGCTGAGCTGAGCTCAGGTGGTCCTGTCTGGCTGGATCGACTCGTGAAACCCAGATTCTAATCCAGCCAAAGCATTGCCAGACCACACCTGGCTTGAAAACCAGCTGCTCCGTGAGTGAAGTCGGAGACTCACCCCAGCGCCGGTAGCCACCACTGCCAGTTGGTGGTGTGGTGCTAGATCCTCTGTGAGTGTGTGTGTGTGTGTGTGTGTGCGTGCGCGCGCGTGAGAGTGTGTGAGTGTGTGAAGAGGCAAACTGCTTCTGTAAAGACACCGAGTCTCAGAAATCCTTTGGGCCAGTTCTGCTCTGTCCACAGGGCTGATGTGAATGGAGATCAACCGGGTGGCAGTAAGGTTTTTTTTTTTGGGGGGGGTGAGGTTTGAAGCTCAGTTTCCTCAGTGATAGAGAAAAGCAGTCCTGCCTCACTGAGTATTTGAGAGTTAAATGAAGGCAGTTATCACCTACAGTGATGCTTCACTCTGTACCTTCCCTTCCAAAGCTTCTTCAGGTTGACTCAAGTTGGTATGTGGGTTTGCCTGAGCTAAACTTCCTAATTTTCCAAACTGAAATGAGGCGGATAGGGAATGGCTCTCTAATTCCAATAGAGCAGTTTTCAGCCTGGCTTTCTTCCCAACTCTCGAATTTATAATTTACATTTATCTTTTCTTCTCCCTCTTTTATCCTGAAGGCTACAGTGGAAGCTGAGCTGAGGAGGGCTCGGTCAGGGCTGCATGACCCAGGTCTTTGAGCCTAAAGCTTATCCTGTCCCCGTTCAGCCCCCACTGGCCTGAGCTCCACGGAGCCAAGGAGAAGAAACAAAATTTAACTCACGATTCTCAGCACCTGGATTTGTTAATCACTGTTATAATGATTTCTTTCTTGACAGCAGGAAGGAAGGACTTGGAAATGTTAGCTTGGAAAGTCAGCTTCCAGATCTTCATTGCTCAGTATGGTAACCAGACAAGCCTATTAAGCACTTGAATTGTGACTAGTGCAAAGTGAGGTAGACTGCAAGTGTTAAGCACACATTGGGCTTCAAAGACTTTGGATACAAGGAAAACAGAAAATACCCCATTAATAACTTTTATATTACTTTCATGCTGTAAAGTTTATGGTATAGTTATATTGGGTTATATATAGTGATGATTAAAAAGATTTTTTCCCTCTCCTTCCCCCCAGCCCCCCACTGTTGAGCAGACCCTTAACTCATGACTCTGCATTGAATTTCTAAGACCAGAAATCTTTATGGGAAGAGGCTGCATTTTTCTCCCAGGCAATGACTGATGGGTTTGAACCACAAAGGTTTTGTTGGTGGTTCAATGGGTAACACACTATGCCACCAAATCTCTCTCTCTCTTTCTGGATCAATCGATAGATACAGAGACAGACACAGAATTACTTAGAAATATATACATCTATTTAGAAACCAAGCCCATGTGTACTTTCCACTTATGATGATTAAATCTACTTTTGAAAAAAATTTGTCAAAGTACTTTGTGGTGATTACTTCTAAGTGGCAGAAATAGAGTGTCATCTCTAATTTGAAATTGTTGGAAATTACCTACAGCTCTATTAGTTTTAGGAAATGGAAATCATGACATGATTTTCAAGTGGCAGAATCCCTTAAAATGGGACAAGGTATTACTGAGGAGTGTATGAACTCTGGAGATAATTTCAAATTCCTTATCTATTTTTTTAGTTTCTTATATAAATTGATTAACTTCTTTGTGTCTTAATCCTTCTCATTCACTCACTTTCACTGCCACCGACCTAGTCAGCACTGACTCAGTGGCTGGTCTGCCATTGTCTTCCCAAGGCTGTCAATCATAGGAGATAATAGTGTCCATCTGTCTCCTTTTGAGCCACTGGTGGATTCAGGTCACTGGGAAGGAGCAGCTTGTGGGCTAGTGGCACAACTCCCTACAGTCTAGGCCACCAGAGCTCCCTCTGAATTTATAGATTTGAAAACATTCATCTCGAAGTATTGTTAGTAGGACAAAACGAGATACTAAATTGCAATGCCTGGCACATACCAGTAACAAATTGTCATCAAACCAGCTTGTCTCTGTCTGGGTAGAATTGAGACCCAAAGAGTTTTCAATGGTTGATTTCACAGAAGTGGATTGGTAAGCTTTTCTTTCAAAGCACCCCAGGCAGACTTGAACTTCCAACCTTTCAATTAACAGCTAAGTGAATTAACCATTTGCACCACCGAGAGAGTCTATGTGGCTCATATTTGGAATTTGATTTATGGTTGTGAAAATGTTCAGCATTAAATTGGAACATTTTCCCATACCTTATAGACTGCACTATCTTAGGCAGCTTTTTACATTTTTTAAAGGGCACTGGGGTGTAGAATACTTGGGTTTATACACCACCTCAGCAACTCAGTGTAGACCCTTGCTACATCTTATTCTTCATCTGGGCCTCACTTTCCACCTCAGTATGTGTCCAAGATGACTCTTCAGGTCAGAAAGTTCATGGTATGTTCTTAGATTTTGTAGTTGAGAAGGGTAGATTTTATGTTCAACCATGGAAATTTGTAATTAAAGTGAAATCATTTTGTTATTGCTGCTTGTTTTCAAAGTAATAGTTCAGAGGTTTGAAAATTCCTCCGGGAATCATTTCATCACCATGACTCTCCAAGGGCAGGATGGAGATGGTTACACCCACTACGTGAACTTGGCCATAAAACCTCTGTATTGCCAACAGTTAGTGAAACAATTTTTCAGGGGAAGCCACTTGGGAGCTAACCGATGGCTCTTGCTATATTAGCCATTTCTCCCATCTGGCCAGCTAACGGGCTTGACTGGTGCCCAGCTCATACCTACGGCAGGTTGGAGGCAGCAGCTTGCTCCCATGGTGCACTGCTCCCTCAGGGAAGACACCAGGTTCTCCAGTTCCTCCAGTCTGCTCAGTAGCTCCTTGACGTCAGGGGCAGCAGCACAGCCACAGGCCCGGCGGGGGATGTTGATGCGGTGTGTGAAGACGATCTGGTTTTCCCCATCTGCTGTGTGCTCCTGGAAGCTCTCGCTGGGTTCTGACTGTGAGGCCAGGTCTTTCTCCCCACTACCTGATTCCAGATCCACTGAGCATTGCGATCCCATAGGCAGCTTAATGTTATATACGTGGTTAAACACCACGGGCTGGTTCTCCTCTGGCAGGGAGACATTTACCCCACTTTGTCGTTTATGCCTGATGACTCTCTTGAGGACCCCGCCTTTCGCAGGGGCAGTGAGCAAAAGCAAGAAGATGCTGGCCAACAGCCGGGTCGTGGCCCCCATGGCAGAGGAGAATTTGACAGATTTGTAGATGCTGCTACGGTCTTAGGATGTTACACTCTCGGGCTTGGGAGCACCACGTAGAATCCAAACCAGCTCCTTTTTCTTCTTGAGGAAGTTATCTTCTATAAGTAAACAAAAGAGAATAAATAAGCTTATGAGATATATACTACTGAGTCAACCTACTGAAGCCTGCAATCTCAAGTGACTTTCTACTTTAAACGCACTGCAAAGTTTTCCTGATATCCTTATAGTATTTACTGTTATGTCAGTATAAAATAGTCTCTAAAGGATATAAGATGCTGCTCTGCAATCCTAAGGGCACACAGTTCAAATCCACCAAATGCTCCACAGAAGAAAGATGGGAAATCTCCTTCTGTGTAATCTACTGCCTCTGAAAACCTGCTGGAGGGTCAGCTATGGGTCAGTTCTGACTCAGCAACACATGAAAACAATTTGGAGTCTTGGTGGAATGATTTCACTTGCTGTTTATCTTTAGGAAATTTAAGTAGATAGTAGAGTTGTAGGGAAAAAAGCAAACCTTGGAATCTGAGAAGCTTGAGTTTTCATCTAGGCTCTTGTGCTGGCCCCTGTGCTCATTATATAGCGTTGCTTTACCTTATTTATCTTTATAAAGATAGAATAATAATAGCCGATAATCAGCCTGTAGCATTGTTTCTAGGTCATAATGGCTGTCCATCTAAGTCTATAAATATTTTAGGGAGGAGCCTTCCTATCTCTCATCAGTGGATCAGCTGGTATATCCAAACGACTGACTTTATGGCAATATGCACCGTACTATCCTACCAGAGTTTCTTCAATGGCTAATTGAGTCACTCACTCACACACTCACTCTCATCTGCCTTGCAATTGGAACCGATTCCTAGCTGATGCTCCATGGGGTTTCCAGGGATGTAAATTGCTTGGAAAGATTTGCCCATGTTTCTCCCAAGGAGCCACTGATGAATTTGAACTTCTAGAAAGGTGTAGCCTTTGGGTTAGCAGCACCATGTATGACGCCAACAGTACTTCACTAAGGACTGATGATCGGGCTAAAATAATGATGAAAGGGAAAGCTTCAAATAGGACCCATACACACATTCACACTGCCTAAATATTTACTAGCTGGGCACTTTGAGTGATTCCATGTAGTGATATGAAGAACATCATCTCAGTCAATGTTTAGTAACTCCCACCTCATAGTATTGACCTCCCAATCTAATTTTAACACCATTTTCTGGTGTTCCAGGGTTACACATTACACACCAGCTGGCATATTATTCTATCTTATACATCTCAGCTTCTCTAATTCTTTTTATCCCCAAAACTTTTGATATTTTTAGAAGAGTTTATCAGAGTGTTCCTGACTCATTATTACTCAAACTGTGCTACTGGCCAAGGGGATGCCTCAGTAGGGAGACTCCGGAGCCTCTCCTGTCTTCTCCAACTAATAGGTACTTAAAAAATCTTATGAAATTTTTCTTAATAATTCTGTGAAGAGTAGCAATAAATGACACCAAGTGTGTATTTTTAGAGGGCTTGCAATAGCGCTAAAAAGACAGTGGAGCTATTCATTCAAACTTGAGGTCGAAAGCAAAAAATAATGGAATGGATTTCTCTTTTGTGGTATAGAAAATAACGGTATGAAATTTGGAAAATTCAAAGGGATTAGGAGAAGGGTGGTATGGTATGACTTACTGCAAAGGATAGAATTTAAGCTGAATGAGTGGTAAGGATTAGGTAGAAATAGCGTATGGAGGAGGATATACTACTATGAGGTATTTATCAATTTGCTGAGTTGTTTTGTTCATCTATCTTCAGGCTACTTGTCTGTATAGACAATCAGGTGTCTTAGGAAGAGGAGCTGTCAAAGGTGACTGAGTAATCATTGAGTTCCATCTACCCTTGGATGCTATAATATTAACTAAAATAATAACTCAGATGTGTGTGAGAAGAATCGAAACATGACATGGAGTCAAATGAACAGCCTTCTTTAATCAACAGATGCACCTGAATGTTATTCAAGTAGGTAGTTGATGAGCCGCCTGATTATTAATCAATCAATCAATCAATCAATCAATCATTTAACACATTAACATCTCTCTAGGTTCACATTATTCTGGCAGGTACACTTTCTAATTTGCTCTTTTTGTAAGTGAGTCATGTTCTTTGGATTGCTTACCCTGTATGAGGCTCTCACCTTCCCAGAAGGATTTTATCTCAAGGATATAATGAATTATCATTATTCCATCTAATGATCTTCATGAAAGCAGAAGATCTTTGCAAAGTATAGAGCAGGATTATTATTGTCATGTGCAATTGAGTAGCCTGCGACTCATAGTGACTTTATGTACAACAGCTCTGAAGCTTGCCCTGTTCTGAGCCAGTCTTACTGATTCTGACACACCTAAACCCATTGCCCCAGTTACTGTATCAATCCATCTTGTCTGGGGTCTTCCTCTTCAATGCTGTCTCCCACCCTTCTAAGCATAATGTCTTTCTCCAAGGACTGGTCATGTGCCCAAAGTATGTGAGACAGAGCTTCAAAATCCTAGCCTCCAAGGAGAAACTTGGTTTCATCCTCTCCAAGACAGATCTATTTGTTTTCTTGGCAGTCCATGGTTCTGGCAGGGAAAATTGAAATGAGAAGTCCTTCTGTAGAACTAAACACCACAGGGGACTGTAGACCTAGAAAAACTACTCAGTATTTCATTAAGATTGTGCGATATATACCTCAACCCGCAATTCAACTAAAAACATATTTGGAAATATATTTTACCACTTATCCATGTAACATCTACTTAGGACATCTATTCCTTGATTAGGCAAGCAGGAAGGAAAAAACTCGTCTGAGCATGCTTTCTCATTCAAATTAGTTTTCTGGATGAGACATTATGGCTTTGTGAATGTAGGTAAATCCAGTGAACTAAGATTATTATGAAGAGCAGAGCTTGGCGAGTTCTCTTCTTTTAACCCAGTCCGGCCATCTTATTTGTTTACTGGGCAAACATTTATTGATTGTTTGGTCTACTGGAATGACTACTTTAGCTATTTTTATCTTCCTTAAGTCTTTTCATCTACTTTCTTCTCACCAGTTCTTAGCTCTTCATTTTGAGAAAGGAATAGGAGCCAAGCTTGAAATGCTTTCAGACTTGTATCCAAAACTTTTATGTGCATTGCTAATGACTTAAATTTCCATCAAAAAAGGCTGTTTGAGTTGCTATTAGAGACTCTAAAGTAATGAGTCTGGAGTAATTATGACCAGGCTAGATGTAGCACTGGTGATTTTTCATGAAGTAGGAGCTGTGTGCAAATGAAAGGTTGCATTATTCCAGGGAAGGGAATGTGATTCTCAACTGTTGTGTATGTCACCTTGACCTATGGTGTGCTGCACAGTGTAAATGGTTGTGCTCATTACTAACCTAAAGATTGGTGGTTCGAATCTGCCTACCAATGCTGTGAAAGAAAGATCTGGTGATTTGCTTCCATAGTGATTACAGCTGAGACAACCTCTTGGATCAGCTGTACTCGGTAGATACATTGGCATGGGATTGTCTGAGTCAGAATTGGCTCGCCAGCAGTGAAGATAGGTCTTCAGAGCGGCAAAAAGAGTTAAGTTTTGGAATTAGACAGAGATATGTTCAAATGTCACTAGAGAGGCAGTGGTGACAAGCTACTTAGCCACTCTAAGCCACTACCTTAATTGTAAAACACTTCAGGAATGAGGTAAAAGTTAGAGAGCTGGACATAAAGTACCCTGCATGATAACAGGACCACAGAAGCAGGCACGCTTTAAAAAAGCAGTTGCTATTTTGTTAAGCTCCTACATTAGTGTATGAATACAGCCTAGCAAGAGACCAAGTCCTTTGATTTCTTCCGCTTAAGCCAGAGTCAGACCATCCCAGTGTATACCAACAACTTCAACTTAGATCAAAGAGGAGTTCCAGAAATCCCTGATAGATGAGAAGATAAACTTTCAGAGGACAAAATTGCTGGTATTCAAAATATTTATACCAGAGAGGTAAGAGCTAAGAAGCAAAGAATGGCCTTTAGGAATGCGAAATATCTTCTTATAATGACTTGGCTTGTCTATGTCTCCTTTGTGGTTTAATCCTCATCATCCTGGACACACACAGAACTAGGGAAAATGGCTTTGGATTGTAGTTTGAGATACTGAATTTAGATATGAAGAATCACATCTGACAGTTGTTGTTGTTGTTATGTGCCGTCGAGTCGCCTGCGACTCATAGCGACCCTATGTACAACAGCCCTAAACTCCGCTCTGTCCTGTGCCAATCGCACTGTCTCTGACACTCCCATCCCAATTATCCCAGTCACTGAATCAATCCACCTCATAGAGGTCCTTCCTCTCCTGCGCTGTCCCTCCACCCTCCCAAGCATGATGTCCCTCTCTAAGGACCGGTCTCTCCTCACTACATGTCCAAAGTAAGTTAGACGGAGCCTCAGAATCCTTGCCTCCAAGGAGCCACCCGGTTTAACCCTCTCCAGGACAAATCTGTTTGTTTTCCTAGCAGTCCATGGTATTCTCAATACTCTTTTCAGAATGAGAAAGTCATTCCTCAGAAACTCTTTAAAAAGCCCAAGCTGATTCTCATCTTTGTAGGAAGTCCTGAGGCATTGAAAGGCCTGGAAAATATGTTGTAAGAGGAAGGACTGGAGAACTATGCTTGTTTATCTTGTAATTGAGAATACCCAGGTTGAAGACAGGATTAGAGTATAAAACTTAAGGAGGGCTGGCTTGTTCCACGTGGCCTCAAAAAACAAGCACCAAGTGTGCTCTTGCTGGCTGGGTGGATGGGGAGAGAGAGAGTGGGTTCCCTGAGACATACATTGGGGAGGACACTGAAGGTCATGGGTTGTCAAGAAAACAAATAATTCTATCTTGGAGAGGGGGAAACCAGATTTTTCCTTGGAGGCTAGGATTTTGAAGCTTTGTCTCACATCCTTGGGGCATGTGGCCTGGAGGGAACTGGTCCTTAAAGAAGGTGGATTGAGAGCACAGGAGAGGAAAACTCTGAACGGGATAGATTGATACAATAACGGGGCTATGGGAGGATAGGGCTGATAACTGTTGT